GTGTGGTAAATATTCAGTGGGTCTGGTGGTTAGTGCTTGTTCATATGATGCTATAATCAATGTCTCGATGTTGCCTTTTAGTCCGGCTTTCTCCAACCACTAGTAGGATTTTAAATATTAGCTACCTCAGTTATCTGCAATTCATGTTGTTTCGAAATATTTTAATAATTCTCGTTTGTGCTTTAACATCGGCACAATATATATATATATATATATATATCCATATATTAGAATATTTCCATTAGATTGTATTGCAGTCATAAAGAATAAGTTTACGGTCATCGGTTAAAATTGTTTATTACATTTTGATAATAATTTTTAAAATATTTCATACATACATATTTCATACATACATACATATTCAGTTGTCATGCAATCACTTCAATAATTGATTCAGATCAATTTTTTCGCTTTTTACAGCAATATAGATCATAATTATGAAGGAAATGAAAAAAAAATTTTTTTTGAAAATTTAGTATCACATAAAAATAACAAAACGAACTATTATGTCAGCGAGTCGCCGAGTGGTTGTACTTGATATCGGGGAGAATATTTTATTTGAAAGAGTAGTCGTAATGTATACGATGATTCAATACAATAACATTGTATATCGTCGTAGAAGTACAAAAAAACAATATTTATTGGAGGGATGGTACAACATTTTTCTTCTTCTAACAGCCCTCACTATTATTATCTAGTTTCATTGGCTACATTGGTAAAACATTTCCAAGCGGCGTGGTCTGATGCCATCGTTGACAGTAATAGAAGCCATTCTTTTTTCAATCGTCTAAGTCCATGTATTGCTGCCACCTATACGTTCAAAATCTTTTCTAACCGTATCAGTCCAGGTCTTGATTGGCCCACCTCGCTTTTGACACCACCCATCACACAGTTTAGCAAGTAACGAAATATGTGCCAACTCCTGTGGTGGACGACGGAGAACGTGCCCCAACCAGCGAAGGCGACATTCTGTGCTAACATTATTAATGCAAGTGGTATTTGAATGAAGGTGGATGAACGATATTTTATCTGCTCGACGGACCCATAAAATATACCTTAGACAAAAGTGGTCAAAGGTAGATAACTTTTTAATATCCTCCACTCTCATTGGCCATGTCTCAGAGCCATATAGCAAGATCGAACAAACGGCTATATAGATGTGGACTTTCGTTTTTATGGTGATTTCACGACGGCTTCATAAAGATTTCGTCAACCGGAAAAATATATTTCTAGCTGTCGTTATCCAGGTTACAATTTCATCCTTTGCCTGGCCATTTGGGATTAGAGTGGAGAGTTCATATATTGCTGGTCCACCTATACGTTCAAAATCTTTCTTAACTCTATATCAGACCAGGTCTTGATTGAACTACTTGATACAGCATTGCCGAATTATTATGGCACAGAAGATTTCATTCTGTGACTTTGTTGTCAGAAGTTGTTTTGATTACTAGTAAAAAACAGGAAACAGTAGAACAAAATTACTCTGACATGCGAATAACAGCAACTGTATGAACAAAAAGTAGCAACAAATATTATAAAATATAGCAACAATCAATTTGTCTTTCTTTACTTAAGAGATGAATCAAGAAATTATCGACAACTCAGGAAATTTAGAAGTTAGTAGTAATTAGTCTCATTAAGATATAAGTAAATAAATAAGAATAAATAAATTGCATTATAATCACCTTGAAAAATTAATAAAATTTTGATATTATAATTTTGATATATTAATTTAGATATCAAAATCGAGTTGCTATTTAAGGCATTTATTAAAAAATAGAAGGTGAAAAACCAGAAAAACTCTAAAAATATGGTTATAGCTATAGTTTGAATATAGTTGTGGAGATTATCGTCTTCAGCGTCAAGATCCTGACTTTGGCAATAAATTTCTTATTAAAAACTCCAGTGAAATCATTTACATTTTAACAAAAGTGAAACTCTTTTCTCATATCATTAACATCCATTGTCATGGCAAATCAGAAGGCCTGACTCAGTCTACTTTTTTAAAAATATCATCAGTAGATGTATTTCGCATATTGATACTACTTGATACGACATTTGGCAGGATAGCAGACTAAATAACGATTGATTATTGTGCGCATGAATTCAGCTAAACCATGTCATTCACAAATCAGGGCGGTGCTGACGACCCACTTGTACTTCTATTACCAGCTATTACTGATAGAAATTTCTCATCGTACTAATAATCAACGGAGTGTAACCAGAGACGTTGAGTGCAACCATCAACATTTTATGCGACACTGGAATGAAAAAAATTCAAGAATGGAATTTCTTCAGTTTTCAAAAAATTTATGGCTACATGGTCACCCTCATTACCATCATCGTCGTAATCACGGCCACCATCATAACCATCTCTCATCATCATCATCCATCATCCACAGTATTTATTTAATTTCTCTATCCAAGCATTATTATCATTAACGCAATATTATTATCGAACAATGAACAATGAACAACAAAGAAGAAATTTTCATTAATTTAATTCACAAATCAATATAATGAAAATCAGTGAACATGCAAACAACTGGTGTTGAACTAATAATAATGGATTCTATTCCATAAGCAATTAATCAACGTTTCTTCATCATATCACAACAATCACTGAATTACATTTCCCATTAATTTTCGCCTTTTTTTATAATCTGTATGAGGGCGTCCCTTTATTAAATGTTAAATTAATTTTTGGCTGATGTTGGAGACCCATTTGTACTTCTATCTTCAGTTAACTCTCTGGAGAAAATATCTTAATAGTCAATAGAGTTAGCCAAACCAGAAATGCTATTAAAAGAAAAAAAGTGTTTTAAATTGAATAGAACATGGCGAAGTGATGTGTTTTAGGGCATATAAGGATGATAGCTGTCGAGAATATTTTGCTTAAACAAACTATCATCAAAACTGTTATCACTTTGATATGTCAATAATATTCTAAATAGTGATAATCGCTTCCATCATAGTTATAATATTTCGCATTAGTTTTAGTCGCTTTATGTGATAAAAAGCCTAGAAAGTTTTCCTAGGCTACTCGTAAGAATCATCAATAATTTCGCCTAATGATTTTGTTGACCGATGCCAGCTTTGAGCGCCATTTTTATATTTTTATGAATTCATTGTGGAAATGTTTGTTAGAACGATTTATTGACAAATTCCACTGATCGGTAATATATATTTTTTCTTAATGTTGTTCACCTGTTAATTTTATAGACAAACGTTAAAATAATTTTGTTACATATATAAGCCTGTCATTAAAAATGAAAGCTGAATAAGATGATAAGATGCTGGCTGTTGGAATCTCATCTTATCGCAACCTCCAACTGGATCTGTGGTGAAAGAATCTGGTAGGTAGCAAAAACCAGAAATTGAGCAAAAGTTCAGATTGCGATATTATTTGCATATCCGGTTTTGCTGAATGTTCTCTAATTTTCTTCTACGCGATCATTCAACAGATAGAATTATCGAGTTTTCATTTTTGAGACGTCAGACAACTCGTCAAAAAGCAGAGTCCAGCTGAGCAATATACTATGGGTTCGGTTCGGTATGTATAATTTATCTGTGCGCTCATCGTCACTCAGCTTATCGTATGCCTTTGCTTATAAAGCAACATTATCATTCGCTTATTACGATGCTTACTATTATATATATTGGCGAAATATCAAACCGGCGAGTTACATTCCCATAAACTATCAAACAGATCAGTTTTTATTTAGCTTTTAAAAAATTAATGTTTTCAAAATCGGTGAATTTAAATATAATTCAATTTTATTTGCTCAAAAATTTGAAATCTTTTTTTTTGAGAAAGAATTCTTTTTCCTATAAAAAGCATATGGTTAAGCATATGAATGGAGTGTAAAAAATCTTCATTTAATTTGTATGTTAAAAAAATCTAAAAATTAAGTTAAACTAAAAAAATCTGAAAAAAGATTAAATTTTTTCCAATTCATAAATTTATTGTACAATTTTGCAATTTAATTGTTATCGCAATTATCGTCTAATTTATATTTTACTCAATATAAATGCAAAAATTTTTATTTTGATTAATAAAGCAAATAATATTTACGTAAAGTAAAGTATATTTGCGACTATTATTGTCAAATAAAATTTATTTTAAACATGCGAGGAAATATGAAACAATTTTTGTCGCTATATTCGCATATTTGAAAAAATCTATTATTTATTGTTACAGTTTCATTCTTCTCGAATAGACTTTCTTATTTGCTTATTTTCTATACCAATAACTTTTTCTCCTTTTCTGCAAGAATTTTTATTTATTTCGAATAACCTTTTTGAGCGACTGGTAGAGAGCGATTGATTTCACAAAATCGTTCAGTGAAGCTGACTGAATCGTAACGATTATGTTGCCGATTCTCATGTTTCTTCTTCGTATTACTGGTTGAATAATTTTTCTCAAGAACAATATCATTCTTTGAAAAATTAAACTATTTAGTTAATTTTTCATTTACAAAACCAACATTCCCCAACAGATTCGGCTTATCGTGGTAAATAGATGACGCAGTGCTGGAGGGCGCCGAAAAGGCTCCTCACTAGAGATAAGAAAATTAGGTACCAACATCGTATTGGCACTGGGTACGGTTCGATATTAAACGAGCTAAACAAAATGTTGCGTGGCGAAACCAAATTTCTCTGAGCCGTTCCCATTTCTTAAAGGTCCACTCTTAATTGAAGAGTAATAAGTATTCGTTCTTAAGGTCATTTCCAATTTTTTAATGGTCAGTCTACTCGCAACCTTTTAATAAAATATAATTAATGAACAATAATTTCGCAGACTTTTTCCAGTTAGTGTACTATTTTATTTAGCATCTTCGAAAATTTTTTATTATTGTTGAACTCACTTTTCTAATGCATTATCATATAACGAATTCTCTTACGCAGGATTTTGATATGATTTTGATATGATAATTTGATTTTTGCGGATATACTTATCAACAAGTTCGTAAAATCTTTTTTTATTTCAGTGTTCTTCTATGGAAGAATCAGATAATGAATCGTGGGATGATCATTTAGTCATTAATGCAAATTCTGATTTTGATTCTGATAGTGATAATAATAAACAATGCGAAAAAAAAGCATCAAATAATGAGCCTCAAATCCAGAATAAACAAAAAGATACTGCTTTTGCTAGTGGATCTCGAGCGCATAGATGTCGAAATTCTTCAAACAGCAATTACACCAATTTCAGTGGGATGGAGTGTTATCATATGAATGGAAATAAAAGCACAAACAAACAACAACAATTGCATAATGAAAATAAATCAGAAAGCAAAAAGTTGTATGTGGTACCGGCGAATTCCACGCTTTTAAAGTCGAAAACCGAAGCCGAATGCGATATGGTTTGTATCGACATTCAGAAGCAGCAAAAATATCAAAATATAGAAAAAGATGATAATAGTTTATCAGCAAAACCTGATACTCCACAGCCGAGTAAGAAAATCTCTCGACAGTTAGTCTCTTCACCAACAATCACGAATAGTACGATAGACACTACTAACGAGTTAGCTGAGATGCGATCTAAGATCGACTTTTTATATGCGCGTATAAATGAGCTTCAGAACCAAAGAATCAACCGAAGAGTAGACCAGCCAAGACCTTCTGTAATCGAAGAGCAAGACCATGTTCAAGTCCCACTGGTCAACGTGAACCATTCAGCCTGCTGCAATGAAAGAAATATTCACGCCTTAGATGATAAAATACGGGAATATGAGGTTAGAAAGGATTTCGTGAATAACATTGATAATGCAGATGCATGCGCCCAATATTCGGTTTGTGAAGCAGCTAATCAAAACAATATAAATGAAGAAACTAATAAGTTAAACGCCACCACGAGCAGTACAACGATTGCAGTAGAAAATGACGATGTGCAAGTAATAACTGATACAAACACTAATGAGAAACCACGGCGAAAATCACGTTATAGCAAAATTAGTAATTTTGAGTCAGAAAATAATAAAATTTTAAATGAAAAATGTAACCGATCAGTTGATCCAAAGGAAATACAAACGGACTTTTGGAACACTATGGCATCGTATTCGAATTCGAAGCAACAATCGAACTATTCTGCTGAAGCGCATCAAACAAAAGATACAAAAAATTTTGATAAGAGTAAAAGCGCAATGCAAAAAAAATCAACAATGTCAGCGAAAAAACATAATTTATACGACAAAGATACTCCGACGAAGCATGGAAAAACACCGAATTTGAATTCCAGCATCGACATTAAATATCAAGAAAGTGCGCAACAAAAATATTCGAATGAATACTTTTTCAATGCCCTTCAACGAACGACCTCCTATGCACCAGGTGAAGAAAATATTTTAACAAAAAAGAAATTTAGCCTAGCGGATACTTTCTACAGATTGTCTAGCCCATCAACCGTACAGTCCACATCACCTAAGATTAATGCAAAGGCTGCGAGAATTTCACCCACTGATTTCACTTCACAACAACTTTCGGCACTACAGTGCGGTTATATAAACTCTTTTCCATCACGATCACCTAATTTACACCAGAATATATCGAACTTTTGGAATAGTGAAGCTGGACCACTTTGCAATGGGCAGAATGAACCCGACAAAAGTCTCCTTAAGCAAGTATTTCTGAATAAAAAATCCCCATTTACAACTACTTCATCTACTCCACAAGCTCTTAACGCATTTTCAGCAGGTCTTACAAAGCTTCCACACACGCAGACCGCCAACTCTTTTATTAATTGCGCTAATTCTGCTACTGATGCATATTTTGCAGCAAATTGCAAAAATATCCAACGGTTCAACAATGTTATGGGGTAAGAACTTCAACTTGGCTGATGAATACTAATTTTAATGAGGAATGTTTATAAAAATTCAGCCGTTAAAATCATGCTTATAGGTTTTTCAGGCAAATCCCTTCTTCATTACCGATACCTATGCCTACAGTCGCTTCTTTACATTTACCAGTAGGTATGAATGCACTTTCCCCAAGCGTATTACAACAAATGCCTCTCAAATATGATTCGCAGCAGTTAAACAATGAACAGCTCGTGATAAATGTAAGGAATAATTGCATAACTCATTTGAAGAAATGATATTTATTTTAAATGAACGCTTCTCATATAGTCATTGAACCTTATTAAACAGATTTTGCTCCATTTCGATTTAAAGGAGACCTCATTAGAAGAAGGAGCATATTTGCCGATGATATTTTGACAATTTTTCTTGCATTTTCCGTCAACTATAACAACTCTCGCCTAAATCCATGTCTTTGTCCAATTCCCTGATCGCCTCAAGGCATCTCGATTTGTGATCTCTCGCATATTTTTAGATGGAAATAAATAATAAATACCATTCAGTTAAAATTAATTGATGGACATTAGTAATTTTTGTTGAAATGTCATAAAATGTACCGTGAAATATTGCAGAAAACACAGCAAATGCAGCAAGAAACACCAAAGAACAAGCGCAAGATCTCATTCCTAAAACTAGATTGTTCAAATCGTCCATGCAACAGCTGGAGCATTATATCGATGCCTCTACCAACCGTATTACATATTGAATGCAACTGCTTTCAACCATGATCAACAGCAATTGAAGGTCGTCCATAAGGTATTAAAAATCTTCATACGAATGATTTCAAACAAACAAAGTGGTTGTTTTTTCTTTCAGTTTAGCTTGGATACCACTATCCGATCAAAGAGGATATCCATTTGAAGGAGTTTGTTGTTTTTAATGGATTAACCTGGAAATAATGATGTAATAAATCACCAATAATTGATCCTTCGGTTAATAATTGTTGTTGAAATGAGCAAAATTGGACTTTGAATAATCTATGTCGTATAGCTTCAAATAGACTAGAACTGCACAAAAACCATTCATATGAAAATCATTTAAGACTTTCAGACCAAAGACTCAAAAAAAAACGCCTTATAACTGATTACAAAAACCTTAAAACTTTCTTGTTGTACTGAATTTTTCATTTTTTTCTCTATGTAAATATCATTTTAAGGATTGTTATTATCATTAAATTATTCCATGAATTGTCGAATTCGTCATTCATTTGTTCTCACTGATTTCTCGAACGATAGAAAATCGGTGCAATAGTTGTTGGTGATTGATGTCACCTAACTGTCACACATACTAAATCAAGTGATTGTTATTATTATTATTATTATTACGAATAAATATAACAATAATAATGGCAGAGTTTGCACGATTGCGAAATAAAATTCAAAAATATAATTCCAAAAACTTTCAAATACGTCATTTAGGATTTAAATATTACGATTACTCTTTGATTTTCGAAAATGAAAAATTAATTAACAAATAAAAATAATTAATTGAATCAACAAAAAACAATTCATGCAACATGAATGAACATGCAATAATGAAAGTGCAAATGATAATGGCTGCAAAAATAATGAATGAAGAACCACTCGAGCTTTCGAAAAATTTTCTAAATGAAGAGGTATGGAGTATCATTCAACTACGAGAAAGAAAAAAAGACCGATAAAAAAAAATTTATAATGATTCTTTAATAGATGGTGTTGGAAAATTCGGGCCTTGTGTACATATATATATATATATATATATATATAGCATTCAAGTAGACTGGTGCATCTGGCACATTCTCCAGTACAGATGAATCTCCAGCAACATAAATCGTTTTTTCACCTCATAGAATTTTATGATGCTAACGATCAAGTACTATAGTACTAAATACTTCGACTGATGGCAAGCATTATAGCTCGGTTCCTTTGACTTGAAAGAAGTAAAACCACCATTGAAAGTAAAACGTAGGTGGTTCTATGCACCTGCTTGCACTTTTATCCTCAAATGGCCCACTGGAAACTCACTCTAATTTCAGTGGAATTAGCCAAACCAAAAATTGTTATTTCTTTTTACAGTAAGTTGTAGGGCATATAGATTAGGACAATCGTCGCTTCAAAAATTAAATATATGAGCAAATATAATCCTTGCCTTATCCAGGTTTCTCTGAATTTTCTCGTAGACCATCTTTTTTTGCCCGTAAGTTTTTTATCTCATACTTCATCGTTCCAGTCGTTCCAGTCCAAGAGGATGAACGTCGTAGATGAAAAATTCTTTCAATCGCGAGAAATGGTTTTGTAATGGGAATTATCTCGGATTTAACGATTTTCCAAGCTCCGGTCGCATTAAGAAAAATAGTTTTCGATGATTGCCTGCTCGTGCTAACTATAGTCTGGTCCTGTGGAGACTGCCAGCTTCAGTTCTACGATATACGCAGCTATCTAGTAAAAAATCCTTTTACCAATGTTTGAGCAAAATATAATCTGGTTCAAGCATTGATCACCTCGTTCCATGGGACTATTCAAAGCCATATAATTTCCATCAATATCTTTTACAATGCTGAAAGCACTTACTGCTGCCAAAAAGTCATCTCGGTAAATCGGAGAAGAGGATCTCCATTGGTACACTAGATTCCAACGTCATACTTGTCGGCCACAGAACATAGAGGAATAAATTCACGTCCACTCTCTCGCGATTACGCCGGCTTTTCGAGAAGGGTTCAGATAAATTCTCTCCCATCTTTATCCAAATCATGATAGTTTAAGAGCATTAACAATAATAACCGAGATATTGCAAAAATTTGTAAAGCGGGAGACTAACCGTTATCAACAGGCTTCTATACAATTAAAGCTGATCGTAACCATAACCTTCCGATCGTGACATCGGCCATTCCTCCCTGAATTACCTGGGAAATCACTTCGCGACAGTCTTCATCCCAACCAGATGGATTTCCCACTCATACCCATTACCCATTCGACATTTGGACTTTTGCATGTGGGTGCACTGCCTCCGTTCTGACTTCTGTGCGTTTGTGCGTTTTTATTTTTATGTCTCTTTTGCCATTTTGTTTACATTCTTGTTTTCCTTTTATATGTTTTTTTAAAGTTAGCTCTTTTATTGTTAGTCTGTTCATTTTGTTCGTTGGTGCCTGGTGTTTTCTTCAATTAATGGAAAATTTATATCTAAAATACTGGTTAGTTTCATACTGCTCAAAATGAAGTTGAACCAATCCAGGAAGACTGGAAAGTTTTGAATTGGAAAAGTTTCAAATCGAAATTGCAGAAATGCTTTTTCGAAATCACTTTGTAGAATTTTTTTTTCTGACATTTTTTAATTATTAATATTTAAAAAAAATATTTACTAAAGCAAATAATAGTTCCACGGATCCACGTAGATAAAAGCCATGGATATTTCGTGGTAAAAATAATTAATTAGCTATTATTTAGGTTTCAGAATAGCGTATACGCAACCATATCCCTTTGATTAATCCATTACAATCGAAAAATTTTATCGTCATTATTGTATTCACTTAGTGGTAAATAATATTGCAGAATACTGCATTTTTATTTAACTTGATGTGCATAAGTTAAATTGTTTTCGCACATTTCGCACACTTGCACCCTCCCTTGCCATTACGATTTAATTGTATTTTAAATTAAATCAAAATTATTAAAATTAAAATAAATCAAAACATCATAAATCGCTTTTATTGATATAACATTTGCAGTAATAAACTTACAACTATAAACTAACTGCAAAAAAAACATTCAAAACGAAAATATGGATTTGATCGAATAAGCTATCACATTTTCCCATGATTTCCGCTATGTGATTTAATTAATAAAAATTGAGATAATTACGAGATTGAATAAATTATTTTATTTCTCTTCAAATATTCCTTTTTAAGAGATCATAATCAAACAATTTTCTGTGTAAAGACTTTAATTTTTGAAAAATACAAAGCCTAAGAAATCATAAACAAGAAAATGAGGAATAACACCAAATAAACCGAATTGATATGGTGGAATAATGATCTTCAGCTGATCTGAATCAATAAGCTTTTCAGCAAGGATTTTAATTTTAATAAGCTAACGATCCCGTCCTTCCTTTTCCTGCTAAGAATTTAAATAACAGAAATATAAATAAATAAATAATAAACAAAAAAATTGAAGCTAAGAAAAAAATGAAGGGATGAAAGGTATCAAGCGATCACCTACAAATCATATGGATGTGACTTGTCTGTCAGAAGTCCATCCTTCTAATTTGGAGTAAGAACTACGGGACATATACAGTAACATTTCGGATAACTCAGGGAAAAATGGAATCGCAATTCCATTCATATCCAAAAGAACATGGTTAGCTCCAATCATGATTGTGATGTGCACATAAGACATGAAGTTGTTCCATTATCTTTCCCACTGGCTAAACCTTTATGCGGAATGCGGAAGGAACCTTTAAAAATCAGACAATATCGTTTTTACAGCCTTCATCTGGATGAAACAAACAATACGCATAGCAAAGCGTTTTTCGATTCCTCAAGATCAAAAAATTCAAAGGCAGTTGGCACATTTCAAGCATCAAGTACTGAGACATCCTTCGGACAACCAATGCTAGTGCTCCAAACTGAATCCTTATCTCCAGAAGTCCTCTAGATCCGTCCCAATGCACACCACACCACTATAGATGAAATGGTCCAGTTCACTGCCCCAGAGCTCGTGTAAAAGGAGATTCTAGCTATCGATAACCATGTAGTCTTTCAACGGTTTCGGCAGGAAAGGACAAAAAATCAGCAAAGAAGGATATGACCTCAAATATTATAAATAGCAGCTTAAGAATGCGACCGTTGAAAAATATTCTGTATGTCTCACAAAGCGACCATACCTCGAAAGACCATCAGCAAAATAATCTCATAGAAGGATGAGAATCCTGTTAAAACTGTCAAAGATCATCTCACCCAAAGAGTCCTTTGGATATAAACACAGTTATGATGGACCATCCAATATCCCGGATGACCGGAACTCATAAGCTGCGAACTGCGAACAATCAACTGAATATGAGAAGCTTAAAACTGATGGAAACCCCGAAAAAGATGGTCCTTGAACTCTTCTAATGTTATCTAGCGTCCTTTGTATTCGTAAAGGTTATATTCGCTAATATACAATAAAGAGCATCATTTTTCCGCCGAATAAACGTGATAGCATAATTTACTTTAATCCAGCTGGATTTAGGATCTTTTCACACTGCGAAAGATATATTGCTTCAAGCCAGCAATTTGTTCCGTGGCTCTTAATAGGAATCCAACAAAGTAACCAATCAAACCAACAACGATGCCATCAGATGAAGAAATAAATGCAACCAAACACCAACAAAACAAAAACTATGAACGGCGATATCAGGAAAAAGATACAACAAGCTATACTATTTCACGAGTATAATGCCTTGCAAAACTGAAAAAAATTATATCACCTAGTTCAACAACTTACGGGAGAAACGTTAGAAATTAAGTAATCAAATAGTCTAAGTAGGCATACGTTCAGTGAACAGATGATTAAAACGTACCATTGTGATGAATTCATATACACTTAGGTAATCTACCAATAAAGGTTTCATTCTCCATCTCTTGACGAAAAACATCAAGGCCGCCAATTAATTCTCCATCAAGATAGAGCTGAGGATAAGTGGGCCACTTACTGAATTTTTTAAGACCTTGACGAACCTAAAAAAGACAAGAAAAAATAAATAGAGTTCATGACAAATGGAAATAATAAATAACATCAGAAAAAAAGGAAAATTGTGAATGATAGATTCACTTTGTTCTCAAATAATTTATCTCAGCTAATAAAACTTATTAAAATTAAGTTATTAAATTATTAAGGCTTATTAAAATTTTATATTTCTATAAAGATTTATAAAAAAAAATTCATATAAAATTTATATAAAATTTAAAATTTATATATAAAAAAATTTAAAAATTAAAAATAAATTTACATTAAATTTATATTTATTTGAATTAAAAATTAAAATTAAAAAAATTTATTTAAAATATAAAAATTTAAAGAAATATTATGAAAACCACTGATCGAGGTAAAGCAAAACAAACTTCTTCATCGGACAAGATATCGAATGCAGTGAAGTCGGCATTCAAACTATTTAATAATTCAACCATCTGCCGACTAAATCCTGGAAGAAAACAGTTAAAATAGGTAAACCCATTAAAAACCCAATAAACTCGTCCTATTTCCAAATTATTTTTTAAGAAAAAAAATTTTAAAACTTTTCTTTAAAATAATGTGAAAAATTTGAAATCTTTTAAATAAATACCGCATTTGGGAGATTCAGGCACACCTTTCATAAATAACACGAGCCGGGATTGCCTTATGAGGATTTTCAAACGATCTTCTAGATTCTAAAACATCAAATTATAAACTGACATTTGGAAGAAAAATAAATATTGTGGCGAAAATTTGATGACAATAATTCATTATTACTCAATATCATTTGAAATAAAGATAGATAAAAATAAGAAGGAAAATGAACCATTTTTTTTGGAAGTTTGTTAACGAAATCAGGATCTTTAATTTCTTCTTTAATAACGTCAAGTCCACCAACAAGTTTTCCGTCCAAATACAACTGCGGATAAGTTTGCCACTGACTATATTCCTTAAGACCTTGACGAACCTAAAAAAGTCTTCAAAATTAGTAAAAACTATTTAATTTCCTTATACTTTATAATTTGTGTTTCTTATACCTTAATATTATCAATTAAAAAAATTTAACATCAATTAGATAAAGAAAACAAAGAAGAAATACAAAATGATACTTACAGTTTCATCTGATAGTACGTCAAATATTGAAAAATCCGCATTCAGTTCATTCAAAAGGTTTAACATTTCACGACTAAATCCTGAAATAAATGTCTGATATACCTTTCAAACTTATTTCAAACCTTCATGAAATTCAAGTAATGGTTACACATTTGGTTAATGGTTACCGCATTTTGGATTCTCAATGGTTCCTTTCATGAACAATACAAGGCGCGACTGGTTTATCAGCTTTTTCAACAGCTCATTCAATTTCTATAAAGTTTTCAATTTATCGTTCTTATAAATTTAAATAAATCGAACTACAATATATACAACAATATATAATCGATGCAGACAAAAGAATTCATGTTTTCATCTACTAAATCAGCTAAAAAGATCGTCTGAAGATCTCATAATTTGAATTCAGAGCAAAATTTTTTTTTTTCATCAATAAAATGTACGCCTCTGTGCATCTGATGCAAAACTGAAATTTCACAAGGCAAAAATAATGGAAATTTCGAATAAAATTAGTGAACACAAATAAATAACTATAAATAACCATCATTAATTTAAAAAAAAACTATGTCAAAATAAGTATTTAGTGCAAAAAAAATGGATATAGGCATAAAACCAAAAGAAAATAATTGATAATATCAAGACAAACGATAAAAATAAAATTGATACTGAATAAAACAACTTGCCACTGCAGGTAACGACTCTGGAGTGGAATTCGCCGAAACTAAATTAAAAGAATTTTTCACCAACTTGATTTTAAGCTCATCAGGATTGAATCCATTCACTCGATCAATTTCCATTCCGTTCTAGAATTAAATTAACAAATATTCGCAAAAAGTATTTCGCTAAACCTTTAAAAATAAAATACAAAGAAAACTTTCATAAATAAGAAACCTTAAAGAAGATAAGAGTAGGAACTGCATTGACGCTATTTGCATGAAATACCTCCGGTAAGTTTTCAGCATCAACTGTTGCTAGTCGAATCGTTTTATATCGAGATTCTTCATTAATGAGTTCTAATAAAATAGTGAAAATCTGTTGACACGCAGATGACCATTCCACAGCAACAAAATTTACGATGCTTAGACTGAAAATTTTCAAAAAATCTCCGAAAATCGTATCAAAATAACAATAAAAAATAATGAAACTGTTGAAATAAACAATAAAATTTTAACTTAAAAAATAATATTTGCCAAAAAATACATAAGAAATATAAAAAATTTTCATATTTTTTCTTAAACTTTTTTCCATACACAGTTTTTATTTTCATTTAGGGAAAAAATTATAACTTACGATTCTTGTTGAATGAATCGATTAAATTCTTCCTTATTATTAATTTTTATTAAAGCCATAACTATCGACAACTAAAATAAATATAATAAATAATAAAATAAGTCATATAGCCGAAAAATGGTTTTTTATTCCCAAGGTGACTCTCCGACGAAAGAGTTTCACCACTTTGGACCAACAATGCGACCAACCAAATTAGAAACGACAAATGTCAGAGAGAGAATTATAATTGGCACGAATATTAACAACACCGATGCAATGCAGCAAATAGCGCCTACTTATTAAAAAAAAATGTACCAATCAGCCAGGAAAAATCTCTCACCACAATGACCGCCGCCATTACTCCCTCCTCCTTCATCCGCTGGTTACATGATTGAAACCCACCTTAAACCTTAATACTCTAATTATTTTAATAAATAGAGTTAGAAAGTAATGACTATTATGCTGCAAGATTTGAATTGCACAAATTAGGTTGAATTCAAAATTGTCGGAAATTGGCATATTGCCAAACCAGGAGTTTTTTTATCATTTAATATTTATTTTATTCAACGTTTAGTTGTTTTTTAAAATTTTGATAGAAATTTTTAAAAAATTTTGGAAAATTTTTATAGTTAATTCGTAAATTTTTATGCAAATTTCTCAATTTTTATTCACTAATAAGCTGGAAAAAAGTTTAAATTATAATGCTGCAAGTTGCAACAGTGAAATGTTCAAAATTGTCGTAAATCGGCCAAAAAAGCGAGCGCGAAATTGTCGTTTGTATTTTCGGTTGCTTTTGATATTTTCTTCAATAAAATTTGTAAGTTCTGAATTTGTGAATTTCCTCTCCACCACTTCGACTCAACTCGCATCGAGAAGCGCCGAGCACTACTGCCTTCTGCACTCGCTGGCAATCGGCTCGGGTAGCACGACTGTTCGAGCGCAGCAGAGTCTCAGAGTTCTCCTGGCAGTTCTCGGCATCACTGGTTTGGTTGGCTGCGCTAGCTACAGAGGTAAAGTGTTTCCAGGCTGTTCAATCCAATGCCGTTGTGGACACCAGTGGAGAGATTGATATTAGGGGAGGTTCTTTTTCTAACAGCATTCATTAGCCCATTAGGCCGGCTCCGCTGACTTCATCGGTACCACGTTCCTGGGCTGTTCGATCCGACTCCATTGCTCATAATAGGAACCATTCGTTTTTCCATCGTCTTCGTCCATATATCGCTAGTCCACCTGTACGTTCAATATTTGTCCTCTTTGTATCAATCCAAGTCTCCTCGCTTTTGACACCATTCATCACAGGTTTAGTAAGCAACGAAATATGTGTTAAACTCCTGTGGTGGGTAACGAAGAATGTGTCCTAGCCAGCGAAGGCGGCGTTCCGTTATCGTCTGTTGATGCAGGTGGTACTTGAACGAAGGTGAATGCGATCGTGTGAGATTCTATCCACTCAACGAACCCTCAGAATCTTAGAAATGAATGACCAGAGATACATATCTTCACCTCTACGAGCCATGTGTCGCAGCCATATAACAAAATCGAGCGAAAAATTTTAAATTTTTTTTTCTAGTTCACATCTATTTCATTTTGTATGGAGCCATGCACAGCTATGTACTAGAAAGTCGGCGTTTTCCAGTTTCAATATATATTTTTCTCAAGGCGGGTTATGGCTTTTTCGGGTTATGGCTTTTTATACTTTGTTAATATTTATATAATGCAGTTTTCTTTGCGTTTTCGTCGTGGTTGCTATGTGGCTGTAGGATACCAAGATACTCATAGTTAATCTGAATGTGAATGTGTGCTATATGTTCTGATGGCAAGTCCTCCCAATCATTGCTATTTCCATCGTTTTACTGCCATCCAGCCACATTTTTCTAATCCAGATGGCATTCCAGTGTCCTCGCTTTAGATCCGTCTTAGATGAATAAACGAGTCAATGTCTCGTTCACATATATATAACTTAATATCATCCATGTAGAAAAGATGGCTGATGGTAGTGCCGCTCTTGAAAATCCATTTCCGTTTCTGATAATTATCTAACTGAGGAGATTTGGACCTGTGCAGAACAATAGAGGACACATCGCCTTGGTACAGATATTTGTGCAAGCTATTTCTAGTTGATTTAAAGTATAAGTTCCCACAGTCCCACTGAGTTCTCACTGAAAATCTTTAGGTCCTTTAGGTTGATTTTGTATAGAGCCATTCATAGTTCTATATTCTGCTATAGAGCCATTCACAGTTCTACAGTTCTATGTGTGAACATTGATTCTTAGGCTTTCTTATAGTCAATCCAAGCTGAGCACAGATTGGTCTTCGGAGCTTTGAGTCTTGAGCGACTGCCTTATCTATGAGCAGCTGACGTTCTGGAGTTTAGAGCCTGTATTGTTCCCAATGCCTTTTTAAACTCATGTTCTGGCTCATATGGTCATGAAGATTGGTATCTGACAGGACTTCCCACATTGTGGAGAGATAGGTTATTGGCCGATAGTTGGATATTATTCGCTCATGGTAGTCTTTCATGACTATCCTTCTTTGTATTAACTAGTCTAGGTGAGAGCCTACCACAAACAAGCTAGTTCATCTGTGTTGCTAGGCGCTCATGAATCGCTATTATCTTCTTTAGCCAATAGGTGTGGGTCATATTTACCAGGTGTCCAACTTTTCATATTTTTGAGTCGCTATTGGATGTCAGCGACTGTGATGGTAGCTGGTTCTTACTTTGGGAGGTTGCTGTTGCTTGTTGTCGGGTTTTGCAACCACTTTGCATCGATGCAATGAACCTTCTTTTTCTTCCATATAATCTTCCAGTATTGTATTCTACTATTGGTGGCTCTCTTATTACCGTATCTTGCACTGAAGTTGCGAATATACCTTGGATGGTTCCTTGGAGAAAAGAGCATTCAAGAGCGTTTTTAGCCTCTGATTTCCTGATACATCCCCTTAGTCTGGTAGCCAGTGCGATAAGCGTTTGTTTAGTCTCGAGAGCTTCTGATGGAGTGTGCCCTTGACCTTGCATTTTTTTCAACATCTGGATACTATTCTTAATCCTCACACCTTTTTGTAGTTCTGTCAGCTGGATAACTTCTCTGTATTGTTTAATCTTATTTTCCAGTCTCTTTTTCCAGAAGCGAAGCGCACTATTATTCATTATTCTTGATTTTATACTCATGCATTTCCAGAATTGCGCTAGCTGTGATATACCATTTAATTTCATTAATTTCTATTATAGTGGCAGTTTCTATTATGTAGCAATTATTGCGAGGGCTCTGTTTTTATCTTTAAATGTATTATCTGGTGGTTAGTTGGTCTCTATGATTGACTGCAATTTATTTATGATTTTTTGCCTCATGTCAACTGCTTATTTTGCAGAAGAAATGTTGGAAGGCAATTTCCAGCTTCATAACTTGCTGCGTGCACAACTCTTATTTTTGAGCCACTAGCTATTTCTTAATCACTGTGGGTGTAGATATCTTCTTCACCCAAAGTTCTATCCCTGGAAAAGGCGATCTTCATGGAGGAAAATAATTCTGCAATTCTCGAGAAAAGTGACAGGACGACAGTTATCGAGGAATTAGCCTACTAGATATCTCCTGGAAAATTTTCGCTTCCCTGCTGATGAAAAAAGACGTGGCAGTATGAGACAGTAAGATAGGCTCTGATCAGGTTGGATTCAGATCAGGACATAGTTGTGCGGAACAAATATTCACAGAAATTTATTGTCACTTGTTTCACTGATTTCACTATCTTCGGTTTAAATGATAGGAGCTTTGGAGGTATAAAAAAAAAGCTGAAAATGCTTTCTTGGTTTGTTTCGTTAGCTTCTCGCTTAAAAAAGTACGTATCTTATTCTTCGTCGTCATGCGCCTCAAACTTGCATAATTAAATTTTTATTTGAAACAAAACTATGACAGTATACCATCATCGTCACAAAAAAAAATAAAAAATGCTATAAATAAAAATAAACCAAAATATGAAAGGTAACAGCCATTCTTCAAATGATTTTGGTCACCACTGATTTTTTGGATTGAAATTGTTCTTATACAACCATCTCACTTGAGGTCATTTCTATAACCTTTATTTTATCAGACTTTTGACATTTTTGACCTTATGAATCGTGTTTTGTTCATTTTTGAGCAGAAAAGGATGGTGAAATGTGATGGAAAAGATCGTTCATAAAGGAATCCCATCAGCCTACGTCGGTACTGATCTTTATATATGAGGAACTGGTAGATTTTTTCGAAATATGAATTGAAACCCGTCAAGGTTGTGTTCTTTCCTCTATTATATTCAACTATGTGGTAGATTGGATAATGGCCATTACTTGTCGACGCTCAAGTGGCGTGCAAATCAATACAGAACATAGTGTCCAGACTTTGAATAAGCTGATGATGTAGTCTTTCTTGCTAACAGTTATGACGAAATGCAAGAGAATGCTAAAGATGATAGTGTGTATTGATGATTACATTAAAAAGGATCGATGTATATCTCTGATGTATAGCTGATAAAATGCCCATTTTTATTAATTTATCACGGATCAAGGAAATATTTTAAAATATCTTGGATTCACTTTTGCACCGAGCGAAAGACAAAATTATAAAGGAAGCAGCAACTAGAAATGCGTTCTTTCGGTCGGCAAAATCTTTATGGAGCCGTCGTGAAATCATTATCAAAACGATAGTCCGTATCCGTATCCATATTGTTTGACGGTGGTATATACTGCCACTAATCCACTCGACCTTGTTATATTTCTGTGGTACATGGTCAGTGAGAGTGGAGAATATTAAAATGTTATCTATTTTTGACCACTTATTTCTGAGAAACATTTTCACGCGTTCACTGAACGGATAAATCTTACGCGATTGCATCTATTTTCGCTCAAATATAACTTGTATTAGCAATAATCATAGACCATCATCTTCGCTCGTTAGGGTACGTTCTTTGTCCACCACAGGAATTGACATATATTTTGTTACTTGCTAAACCCTATGATGAATAGCGTTACAAGCTAGGAGCGGCAGTTAAGATCTGGACTAATATAATCCGGAAAAAGAGACCTGGACTGATACGATCAGGAAAGATTTTGAATGTACAGATGGACCAGCAATATATGGACTTAGACGAAAAAGGAATTTCTTCTATCAATGATAGCGTCAAATCAAAGAATTTGGAGATGTCTTACTCTTATAGCCAGTGGGGCCAACCTAACCAATAATGTTCAACATGAGAATCGTTGTAAGATTAAAGACTGGAGGGAATACAGCTGCAAAATGATAATTGTGACGCTGTAAGTTGCGTTAGTTAAATTTCAAAACAGAATTGTTTTAAATTGGCGTCAAAAAAGCGAGCAGGGAATTTTTTAGCATTTAATTTTTATATTTTCTTGAATTTTGTTTTTAATTTTTAATGAATTTTGGAAAAATTTCGTAGTTAATTTGCATTTTATGTAAATTTCTAAGTTTTTGGATTTTAAATTTTTTAAATTAAATTTTAAAAAATCATTAAATTTATTTTTATTAAATGAAATTATTAAATTTTTAAATCTTTCCTTTCTATATGAATTATTTGAAATAATTATATCGCTGTATTTGTACGTTTATTAACATAGTTTGCAATGCCGAATAGAATAGAATTGAAGAAAAAATGTAGATTTGAATGAGGGAAAGTCAAGATTTTTTTAGCGATAAATAAATTAAATCACTTAATTAAATAATTGTTTCAAATAATTGAAAATTAAAGGTCACTGCTGTAATTGCATTTTTAGTGATAAATAAAGCATTTTGATAATCTTATAGAAATAATTCTTTAAAATTTTATAGAAAGGTTTCTTTTTTACGCTTTCTTTCTTTTATTTAAAACAACGGTTAGCTTTTCTTTTTATTAAGAAAAAGAACATTGAACTGCGTAATTTCTATTTCAGGCAAAATGCCTTTAAGGGATGGAATTTTATGGGAGAAACAAGTGCATAAAAACGCTGACAGCAAATTTTGTATTTCTTTAACCGGTGAATGTTTTGGAACTGAAGAGTTGGGTTTTTTTTTAACTGAATTATTTTATTATCTAAGCCACTCCACTTTATATGAGTAAATATGCAGGCGTATTTCTTTGCGTAATCTAGCATCGGTTTTTGAAATTTTTTGATAACTGGTAAATACTTTATAAAAACTCTTTTACTTAATATATATTTTACTGATTTTATAATTTTTAGAGAAATGGAGAAAAGAAAACAGGAATATAATGAATGTATATGGTCATGTCGTCACATCGCATATGATGATCCTGTCCGTACTTTTATGGATGCATTAGAGATAGAAACTAAAGCAATTGAAGATATTCGTAACCGATTTTCGATAGATCTGATTGCGGATTTTTGTAAAACAGTTCATTACAGTTAGCCTCATTTAATATTTTGTAGTAGAAAAAAAATATTTTTTTCGTTTTTTCATTTTCCGTGTAATATTGCCGTAGTTTTTTGTGTTTATAGCTTAATACGAGTGAAAAAAGATTCTTTTCTCATTTCCTGTGAGTAATATAAATCATCCTTAATATCAACCACTTCAGGCCGGTGACTAGGTTTAGGGCTTCCAAGCTTCTTGACTCTATGCCATACCTTGAAGTAACTGAGGATCTCTTTTCCACTATCTTAGCTTGTACATTGTTAATTCCCTAAAGCGTTCAAAACCTGCCTTGTCCATCTTCATTGATCCTTCTTGCTTTTGACTTCATCTATTATATAGCTAAGCAAATAGAAATAATGTAACGAAATGTGTCAATTTCTTTTACGGGCGACTAAAGTCATTGCCTAACCAGCGCAAGCGAAACTTTTTCGTTGTATTATTAATGCAAAGACTAATCGAAGAATGTACTTTAGGTAAAGATAGTTTCCTGATACATTCCTCTTTCGATAGTCATTTTTTTCATTCACATGGTAATATTTACTATTAGATGGATTCGAAATTTCGTTTTTGGGACTAATTTCGCGGCAATTTCAAAAAGGCGGCTTGTCATTTAAAATTTGATACTTTTTGAACCCGATAACGGAAAAGAGTTTGTCTTATTGATTTGAAGGCCAATTTTAGCTGTCGATTGAAGGCAAATTTGATGTCTGTTGCTCATCATAACTATCAATGAGAAAGATACCATAGTGATCAGTAATCGTATTAAGTATCCTGGTATTGTACTCTGATTTTTACATCTCTTAAGTGCAGACAAGTGTTATGCATAGCACGGTTTATCGCACAATTAAAAGTTGTAGGAGAGAGAACGAAATCTTTACGCACATCGGTTCGTATTTCGAATGTTGTTTCAGTCCCATACAAATATACTTGCATTCATATCTTCCTATAAAATGCTGTAATAATTCTGGTTGTCTTTTCTGGAACGCTATGATACTAACTGACCTGAAAAAGCACTGTATTAGCAAACGAATCAAAAGAAGTATTGATGAAGCACATAGCGATAGGTCTCCGATACTTGAAGCGGTGTTTTAATATTTTTTAGCGTAAAATTTGATTAACACAGTCACGTTGTGGTTTTCTGAATTCAACTAAGGATATGGTGCTTCTTGCTCCTACGAGTCTATTCAGCAGTGGAAAGAGAATGAAAAATCTTATCTTAGAGAAATATCTAATAAGTTGACTCCTCGATAGTCATCGCATTTCGCTCTATCACTTTTCTTCTGAGAACTGGGAGCAGGAATGCGTTGCTACAGTCATGCAGTGTTTCCTTCATATTGCATCTTAGTGAACATAACTAATGCCGATTGCCGTGCGAAAGAAGGCCATAACCATAAAATTGTCCGATCGGTAATATTTCGACTCCACTTGTGAATGGTAATTTATTGCAATTCTTTTTTCTTTTTTTTTTGAAATTCTTCCAATGTTTATTCTTCCAACCATGCTCTTCAGCAAAATTGAGAGTATGGTTTCTATTGGTAGACCTTAACGCCATACTTTTCATAGAAAATATTAGGACATCATCGCGCCTTACGCGCTCATTTCATCCTGTACTTCCATTATTTTGTGAAAGATACCATCAGCAGGTTAAGTTTTGCATCGAATCAGTCTTTGACCACGTCATCCTTGCACAGCTTAGTAATATTATACTAGATACTGATGAACGTGATATTGCGGAATTCATCTTCAAAGGGAGTAGACTATAGGTGATTAACAGATTATTCCACGCGATTTCGGATACGAGATTTGCCACTTCATTTTTTCTTGATTTGTGCGAAGTACCACAGCCAGTTTTTTATCAGTTATCATTACTCTGAATCTAAAATTAAAAGATGAATAATTTCTGACAAGCGATATCCATGCGATATTTGAATGTGGTCGACTGTCACTTGGCCATCTGCGTACAGTTCTGCCGTTCTACATAGTTTTGGCCAAGCGCATGCACATTAAGTCATTAAGACGACTTTGATTATCTTAATTTAAAGCAATGGTCTTACTTAGGTCTTAATGGTCTTACTTTTACTGTTATCTTTTATAAGCCCGGTTCAAACATATATCGTGATTATCACCAGGTTAGAAGTAAAACATATATTTGAGAACAGAGGCGCAAATGGGTCTCCAAAAATAATTTGGTTTTAAGTTCATCACTGTGAAAATAATTTCTAAATCGATGCGAAATTTTCATTTTTCGGTAGGATTACGGCGATAAATGAAAATCTTTTTTTTTAAAAAAATGCTTGTTTTAAAAAATTCAGACAATTTAAAAGAATAAAAAAAGTGCATATTTAATTTCTTGTGTTACTTAATAAAAAAAGATTTATCCAATAATTCAGATTTTACCGAGCAAAAAATGATTATAAAGAAGCTTGCTGAAAGGTTTCAAAAAAAGTATTTCAAAAATGAAATAGTGATTATAAAATATATTGACAAGTAAGTCTACTCAATTTTTTTTTTGATTTTCTATAATCATTTGCTTTTAAGTTCTTAATGATAGTATATTTTGATTTATTAGGTTTAATCTGAGTTTTAATCTAAGTTTTATAAGAAATGCACGTGGTCTAGTAAAAGAGAGATTCTCGGCAAATTTTAAAAGCCCTCAGAACGATAAAGAAAATTTCGAAAATTATTTATATCGCATACAGTTGAATGATAAAATTATCGACAATGTTCATCCACATTCAATGAGGTTCTAATTTTCAAATATTATAGCTTTGGTTGTCATTACCAAACTTAAGTTTCTATTATTCAGTTTTCTTCTATTATATATATTAAAATTTGGCCATCGAATATTATGAAAATCTTATATTTTAGGTCGAATTCTAAATCAATGAAAAATTTTTGATCTTTTAACTAAATTATGAAATTGTTTGATCGGTTAACTGTTACTAGTGATTAGTCCATTTATTCAGGTGCATCTTTCTTTTTTTGTTAGTTTTTTAATGAGTGAAAATCATTCCAGACGACTTGTTCCTTTGTTTGAAGAAGATATTGAAAGAATGCTTTTGTTATTCGCTCAATGGAATATCATTTGTTTTGGCGCTTGGGTCGTCGATAAGACGATCTGTGAGGAATTTCAAATATTTAATAAAGCGCATCAAGCCTTTATTGGCTTCAGAGTATTGTTTTATTTTTTAAAATTCATTCTGCTTATATACATTTTTTAAAGGTCTATCATTTAGTTTTTCTAGGTAATTTCGTAACATTTCCAGATGACTTCGTAATAATTGCATTCACCATAATCTTTGCAGATAACTTTGAAATCTTTGCACATAATTTCATAAAATTTACAAATAATTTCCTAATATGCAAAAAATTGACCGAAGCATCCATAAAGCTCCTTTTTTAAGTATATCTCAGAACGTCGTTATTTTCACTTTTAACATGCTAACTAACCTTGATATTTCTTCATGTCTTAACCCTTCAGTTGCATTCTCCTTTACAGTTTTTTTCGGAAGGTGTCGTCCATCATAATACTCTGCGCTTGAAATTTTTGTACTTCAGGAAACCATTACTATTGCCGCCTTTTCTCCACAGAGTCTTTTGATTCCTACCTGAAATAATTTTTGCACGACTAAAAAAGCAAATATATTTCACTAATATTTTTCTTATTCGCTTATCATATAACTGATTCTGAAGTACTTGTTAAGGGATTATGACATTTGAAAGGTTAATGAAATGCAAGGATCAAATAACTGGAACGTGACAAAAGAATGCACTGAGGCTTAATGGAATATTAAGGCTACGTAACAGAATATTACGGGAATTAATTGCTTTTAATTGAATTAATTGAAGTTGTTAGGAAAGCAGAATGAAATCTGTTAGGTGGTTATCTGGAGTTTAAGAGGATGTTAGAGAGTTAAAAGAACAAAAAACGTTTTTACTTTTCGATCTGTTTTTGTAGATTGTGTTATTTGCGAAATGTTTTATAAATGTTGCGAAATTTTGTAAAAAAATTGGATAAAAAAGAGTACAAATAGCCTATCGTTGAATCTGAATTAGAAATAATAGTAATATATTGAAAACAATTGCGACATGGCATAGTTTTTGCATTATCGGTATTTAGTCTTTGAAATAAATCGCACTGAATTATTTCTCATATTATTTAGCAAAAGTATCTCAGTCTCTTAGGAAAGTATAGATAGATTCCTTTTTTTTTATTAACATTGTATGGTGTTAATAATTTAAATTAGTGTTATTAACACAAGCGCATGCCTAATCGTTTTGTTAAACGAAATAATGATTAAAAAATATGTTATGAAATTATCTGTTAGCGGCGTGAAGATATGTGTTACAAAAAATTATAGAGTCAGCTGCAAATATGGTAAATTTATGAAGAAAATGATATGATGAAAAAAAAGTCTATTATGGGGAATTATAGCCTGATATTTAAAAAAATTTTTTTTAGCAGTTTGAAGATCAGTTTGCGTTTAAATATTTGTTTGAATATTTTGAATAATTCTTTAAAAATTTAAAAATTCTCTTCTTTTTCAGCCGGTTCAGTTAAATATGCGTAAAATATGCGCAGAACAGTTAGGCAGTGGTAATAAAAAGGACGATGATGGCGGTGTTGCGTTAGAAATATTTAAATCTCGAAGTGTTAATTTGGATCGGAAAAACAACAAATGCATTATCGAGGATTTGAAGAGTTAGAGTTTCTCATAAAATTAATGGAGGAGGATATTTTTTAATGAAAATTGTTGACTTTGTTGTTTTTTTGTATTTCCGCTGGAAATGTTTTCAAGTTTTTAGGTACGAAAAATGTTTTAAAGCCCAGAGCATATAATTCTGCTGTTATTGTGCAAGTTTTAAAATCAGGAGGAACGACCAAGAAAATTAAAATAGATGATCAGAAACAGGTTAATAAAATTTCAAAAAAGAACTTTAAGGTACAAGGTGGTTTTGTTGATGTATACATTTTAGTAACAACATGACGTGTATAGAGTTCCCATCATATATCTTTTTTGTGAATAGTTCTCGTATAATTCAATGTTTTTATGCGCTGCAGTTGTCTTGAGGAACTGTATATAAATCGAAATTTCACATGTCTTTATCACTGGTGTAAGGCGATTATTTTTCACAATTACAGGTCAGCGTCTGCAATAGGATTCATGGTCAAAAAGCTATCTATACTCCAATATTTATACGAACGAAACAAATTCCTCAAAAAAGTATAGCTTTTAGTTTTAGAGTTTTTTTAATAACAGTACTTTAATGATGCTTTCTTTAGCCAACGTTTCTTGCTATCTTTTTTTTTTTTATTTCATTTATCTGAATCTGATTTTTAACTCTGAATTTATTTATTTCAGCATCTATAGATGAGGAATTTCCTCTGATGAGTTTATGAAGTATTTGCAATTTTTTTCAGGCCGAATGGAAGAAAACTTATGTCCATGTACTTCTTATGTAGACGATAAAGAAAAAGAATCGATGCTTTTACCCGTTGAGTCTCCCAGAAATAAGGAAACTCAAAATGTGAGGCTATTAAATCCAATCTTTTTTCCGACAGCGCGAATTAATAACGTTTAGGTTGGCTGCAGTGGCTGCAAGAGTACAAGTTAATTGGTCTTAAGCCAATTGGATGATCACTTATCATGGTGTCGTGTACTGCCACAAGTGTATTTGGTGAAAGGGAAATTGAAATCTTCTAGAGATATCCAGTAGGCTGATTCCTCGATAGTTTTTGTAGTTCGTCCCATCACCTTTCACCGAAATTGAGAGCAGGATTGCATAGCTGCGGTTGATGAGTTTTTCCCATATCAACAAACACCTGTAAAGGTGAGTTGCGATTAATAAATCACTCCAGATTTTTTGAATGAAATATTATTTTAATTTTATTGTTATTTAGATTCCTTCATCCTGTAAAACCATTTCGTTGTACAATTCTATCAGTGAATGTAGTAAAATGGAGGAAAATCCAGAAGTAACCGCTCTTTTCTTCTTGTGTTTGTTATTTTATGTCTCCTACCAACAGCACCCACCGTTTCTAGTTTAGCTTGCTGTAATTATTGCTATCGTGAATCCCTTTTCTAAAAAATCGCTTTGATATAGAAATGCAAATGAATCCCCAAAACTTCCCAGATTTTACTTTTGACAACTTTATTGGCTTCGAATAAATCAAGATCAAGTTGTTCGATCTCGGTTGGATGAATAGCACTCGTCCATCCCCTTTGTCTTCATTTATGTACTTTTTATATCATATTGCTATTGTTTTTAATCCAGTGATTCGATGTTTTCCAGGTTTGTTGGCCACTTCCAAAACCCGAAATCGTCGATTCAGATGATAAATTTCTTCAAGCTCTAAAAGTTTGCTCCAAGGATTTTCAACAAAATACAGTTAAGAAGCGAAGTAGTATTTTTTTGTTGAACGTTTGTTTTTTTTCACAGTATCCATCTAAGATTTCTCGAGGCACATGCGTTAGAAAATATTAAGTATGGGTTTCCAAAATTCAATAAATTTAAAATAAATTTTAAAATAAATTTACTCCTATCGAAGGACGTTGAATTGTGATGTAGTTAGTGCACCACTCAACCCATGCGTTTCTCGTTTTCTCGTTTTGTTTTACTTTTTGTTAACTTATCTATCTTATTTAAAATATTTACAGAAGAGCCTACGATAAATATTATAATAAATATAGTTCAAAGCACTCTTAAATAAAAAAAGTTATTGAATTGAAATCGTTAAAATTATTAAAGAAAAGGAAATCGAAATAACAGTCAAACCATTTGATAAAATATGGATCGTAGAAAATAAAAATATGGAAAGTAATTGGATTCAGAAAACTATGGCTTGTATTTCTGGATCCCTATCGAATGCACCAATTTCACCTAACGTTATGAAAAATCAGGCACAATTTTTTATAACTTTTGCACTCTTGAACAATGATAGAGTAATTTCGCGAAAAAAAATCTTATAAATATGAATAAAACACTAACTATTTAAATATTTTTTACCATTTCGCAAAAAAGTATATTTCGAATTACAAAGCTGATTTTAGATTCTCCTGAATATTTTAAAAATGGATTCATGTGACGAAAGTATAGAAATCTTCAGGTGAATTCGATAATATCACGTCTTAATAAGGCATTATTTTCATGTAAACCGCATTTTTTCCAAAAAGAATGTGCTGCAATGGCAAAGACTTTTTCCTTGGCTCATATTAATTCTATATCGAATGAACTATTACGTTTCGCCATCCTTCGAGAATACGACAAGGGTGCTATGACGTTAGTTTCAATACGAATTTTGTTTCTGGTCGTAATAAAATAATTCGTTATTTTTAATTTTTTAATTCTTTTCTTATAATCGAGAAAAGATAAGTTTAATATTTTGAAGGAAATTCGTGTCGTTAGAAAAGGAAGCCTATTGCAAGAAAAATGTGTTCCCACTAAAAGGTGATGTTGATTATAAAATAATGGAAAAAAAGCTGAATCTTTTGTTAACGATGGTTAGCATCTCTTGTTTAAACATTAATAAATAAAGGTGCAAAGAATTTTGATTTTTTGATTTGATTTATTTTTTCTGTTTCAGAAGCCTGATGATCTTTTGATACATGACGCGGAATCACTACCTATACTAAATGACGTCAAATTGCCTGAAACTTTCTCTTATAATCAATTTGCTGCCATTTTAATGCTTACTGAATTTTTGTATACATTTCGTTTCTTTTTACAGACAGAATGCATTCCTTCAGCAGGTATTCATATTCTATACTCCACCAAATCTCTTTGATGACATCTTACAAGCCGGTATTGTTGGTTTCCGTTATTTTCAGTTTGTTTTTGTTTTAGATGAATTGATGAACGCTCTTCATGACGGTCGTAAAGGTTATTTTGGCATTGTTGGTCATATACTGATTTCTCTCGTAAAATCTATCCTTTGTGATGTGCATAAGCAGGTTTGTTTCCTTTATAAATTTTCTTTTGTTAAATTTTGTCGAAATATTTTTATTACTGGTTTTTAAAGTTCCTCAGTTGCAGTTGTATTTAATTTTATACTTTAGACATTTTTATGTGTGGCTTATTACTCTTGAAATAAATGACGCTTTTTTTTCAGAAAATAATTGTTTGTGGCGTTAATATTCAGTCAATCCCGGTTACTTTATCAACTGTTTGGGAAATCATGAAGGCGATTTTTCTTAGTCGAAATCAACATGAAATTACTTTCGATTCAGTTAATATTGCGGATTCGTGTGACGCGTCACTTTCATCTGGTTCAGATTCCTCAATCACAAATGGAGATAATGCAGAAACTTCCTTAGATTCGGAAATAACCAAAGAATTTTTTGAATTATCTGTCGATTCGCAGTTGGATAACTTGGAAAAGTTGATGAACATGATCTTTGGGACAAAAGCATTCGCAGATTATATGTTTAGTTTCCATTCTGATATAAACCAGACAAAGCAGACAATCAAACAGCTGGAAACTAAGGTATGCTAATTTTTTGATTCAACAAACCCACGTCTCTTTTCTGAAAAACTGAAATGAGATTAAAGAAATAGGTTTAAATATAGATTTCCGACTTAACGGCGGTTTTAAAAAAGAAAGAGGAAGCGCCCATTGTAAAATATTTTTTTCGATGTCCGGCTTTAGAAAATAAGGAGATCGAAAGTCTGAAGGAAAAAATCGAGAATGTCAAATGCGAACTACAAGAGAAAAATAATAAATTAAAAGTAAATTATTTTTATGTTAAACTTCCTTTTTTATATTTCAAAATTGGGACAGAATAAAATATCTTTATTAAAAATTAATTTGTATTTTTTCTTTTATTTTATTTATTCTTTTATTTATTTTTTCTTTTATTTTTTTCTAGATCTCTTTTTTATTTAGATTAAATTGAATGAGTTGTACACTATACTTTGTATACTTTACACTTTGTATATATATAATATATATATATTATATATTAGTAATATATAATATATATACTAATATATACTTACTCCTATCAAGGGGCAAGAAATCGATCGAACCTATTGTGTTCGACGCCAATCAAGGTAACCATATAATGTATTATAATGTAGGAGTTGCGACTAATCTCAGAACGATCTTGCCGTATTAACCCTCTTGGATTCGATCGATATCATCGAAGATATTGGTTTTTCAAAGGATCTGCTAATAATGGAATTTATATCGAAAGTGTAAGTATTTAAGTCAATGAACCTCTTTATGGATATAGTTTCAGGTGAAATCTTGGATGTTCACCGAGAATATTAAAATTTTGTATTTCGGCAGTGATTTCGCTTTGCTTTTTGTTTTTTAAGTCATTTAACTCAGTATTCACTCATTTAGTGTTGGTGGGCATCGAAAGCTCTTCCATTTAGAAAAATGGAAGAAACTGATTTTAACGAGTGCAACAGTAACAGTGAGTGCAACAGTTCTGATGTATACGAAGAACTACTTTTAAATAATGATATGTCGACATTTTCGATGAAACATGAACTAATGTAAGTTAGTTCGAGATGTTGTGAGTTTTGGTTAAAAAGATATATACTACTGATATTTTCAGTGTTGCTTTTGGAATTTATATTATATGATATTTAGATCACTTGAGGTTATTTAATTTTAGGTTGCCTATGGATAATGGATCTTATACTTGGTACAGAATCACGGACGAATCTACTTTTGAAAGATTATTGGTGTCTTTATGCAAAAATGGTCTTAGAGAATCAAAGCTTTACGTTAATATCAAGAAAAATTTATCGGATATTTGCAATTCTTGGTATTGATTTAGTATTTAGTAATGGAGATAAATTCTACTGGTGACTCCTTAGCATTAGAAAGAATATTTCATGAAATTTTTTAATCGAATAGACAAAGGCATTTGTGGCAATGGCGATTGAACTGGTTGAACTGTTAAAGTGTTAAAGTTCAATTATTATCGTTTAAATAATTTTGAGGAATGTGGGAAGTTCGAATCTTTATATAAAGCGGATAGAGTTGCAAACAGTTAACGAAAAAGATTTATTGAAGGAAAGTTTCATCGATCTTATAATACGCCTAAAAAACGCAAAGTTTTTGAAGGTTGAAGTATATGATATTTTAAGGGAAAAAATGGTTGTTGCAGAGACAATTGATTGTATTGTAAGTTATTCCTTTTTTGACTGTAAATTTCCAGTGTTTAAATTAGATTTGGCGTATTTTTAAATCACTGGTTGATGTGAGATATTCGATATAGATGCTTATTAACAGTGAAAATTCAAATTTTTGTAAAATATTCTGATATTTTCAGATGTTCTATTATTCCGTTTTCTTTTTCTTTTTTTTTTAGAAGTCAGCATTGTTAACCCTTGCTGAATCGTTATTAAGTCGTAAGTATGACATGCGTTTATCTTTTCCCAAGTTGCGTTGGAAAAATTATGTTGAAGAAAAGGGTTCCATCTCTCGACTTGCTATTTTGTTAAGTGTTTTAGATAATTCCATCAATTGGAAAAACAGGGTTTGTTCGCATTTTTTCTTTTGTAACTTCATTTTAGCATATTTTTATAATAATTTTTTAAATTTGTATTACCAAAATATTTTTTGGATTAAAATGTTTTATCCTTTTTAAATTGATACTTGAATGTAAAATAAAATTTTAGCGTTGTTCATTATGTAGTAAAATATGTGAATGCCAGTATTTTGTCGTTTGCAAAAACTGTGACCAGTGGGTGCATTCATATTGTGCTATTTCCAATTGCAGTAACGATTCCACGGAAGAGAGCTTTATTTGCATTAAATGTGTTAGATTTACTACAGACTTGAAATGTTTTGTATATTTTTTATTTGTTCGATATCTTCAAAGTTTTAGGAACAAGTTGGTAATACTTCGTTTAAAGGTGAGCTTTGTGTTGATAATGGCGAAAATAAAGCAGCTGATTTTGTGGTATGAGTTTCACTATATTTAGAGTCCAGCACAAATTTGATCTAATTTAGAAGTTATTTTATCATTTTCCAATATTTGCCATTTTTTGGCTTGTTTTGCGATTTCGTTTTAGGTGTTATAAGGGGTATTTTTTATTTTTTTATAGCTTATAGTTGAATATCCATACTTCTTGTTATACTTTTTTCGAATTTTTAGCAGCAGTGTTTCTGTAAGCTGAAAGAGGATCGCCGAATATATCGGAGTTTATTGGTAGTACCCCCAGTGTATTGCCGAGGTCGTTTAATTAAGCGACTGTCGTTGGAGACTCTGCAGAATAATTTATCCTCAGTAATCAATTACATTTTTCTTGTTTTTGGCAAAAATGAGAAATTTTTGAAACAACGAGTGAAAGTAACTTATTCGCATTAAGACTATATTTTCGTGGAAAAGTATTTTTCCATTTCTAATTTTTTACCTTCCACTTTTATCAATCTTTTTTTCAGTATAAGTCTCCATCTGCATTCATAAAAGATTTGCATCTGTTTCTTGATGGAGCTATACGGTTTTATAAAGTGAGATTTTGTTTATGTTTCAGTTGATTTCCATGGTTAATTATATTTTTATGGACTGAGAATTCTCAACAATGACTATTAGTTTTTCAGATTGACATATTTAAGTCGTTTATTTAATAATTTCCAGGATAACAACAGAAAATGTTCGGTATTGAAAGAACTGAAAACAAAACTCATACGTTAATACCCATTTAATTATCTTTATATCTTAAATTTCTTTGAATGTTTATCATAATAATGGAGTTATTTTTTAAAATTATTGGCTTTTATCCAGTGATATACAAAAATCTCATATTCTTCGCTAGATGCTTTTGTGAATATGAACTTAGTGAAAGTTTTAGAAAAATTGTTTTTCTCAACAATCAAGGTTTCATCAAATTTTTCGTTTAAATATTTTATTAACAATATTTGGCAGCAAAAAGACGATATTTTAGTGCTGTTTTTGAGCAGTCAATCAAATTATGTTAAATTTCAGTTAACCCTTCATGTGTTTGAAAAAATGGCTTGTTGAAGTTCTTTTTATTTTTTTTTTTCGTTTTATTTGATTGGCAGTTTATTTTCCCATAAAGTGAGGAAATATGAATGAATGAGAATGTTTGAATACACTCACTAGTTCCAGTATGAAGCAAATATATTTTGCAAATAAACTTGAATTATTGTTGCAAATGGGACGAGAAGGAGCTTAAAAGGCAAAAGGTCATAAAGGCCTGAGTAGTAGTTTATTGCTCCATTGCTTCCTTTAAAAGTGATTGTATTGGATTTTTTTCGATTGGAATTGTGATTTTTTCATGCATTCTGATGAATTTACAATATATAGTTTCCAAATAGTGAATTTTTAGGAATAGGCTTTTGCCGTACGTCGGTAGTATTTAGAAGCAATTGCGAATTGCAAATTGAAATGTGGAAAATACTGGGATAATACTGAGATGTAGTTCTTGCATTAACTAGTTTCAAGAAAAAATTGAACAGAATTCTTGTTTATTGTTCAATGCATATAGTTCAAATGTTTGAAAATATTTTTTAATCCACTGAAAGTTTTGTAAATTTTTTTTTTTTTAACAGTGTGTTGATTTTTTATTGTTATTATTCCATCATAACGTTTTTGTTGCCCTGTTTAATCCTTAAACGAATAAAAATTATCGTCAATTGAGAAGTGAAGAATGTGCTAGTTGGCATATAAATATAAATTTATTAATACACGGTTTTTTTCGCACAAATGTTGTGCATATTGGCTATCGCATTGATACAACGCATTTTTTAAAAATAATTTTTAAATATTTTAGCAAATTTATAAAAGAAAACTTTAAATGCCAAATGAAGGAAATACATTTGAGTTGCTTGACATATTAATTGTTGTAAACCATGAAATTAGCTAAAGTTTAGTCAAATTTTCGTCGCTTTAAAGCGAGGTTTAGTGGAACGTCACGGTCATTTGCGTTGTCTTCGACATAAGTTAAGTCACCGTTATCCGCTTTTACGAAAGATAAAACTGCTTTCGATGACAAATTAGGTTGAACAGATGAATAGTCGTTGTTCTTGAACACTTCTGCATTGCTTAAAAAGGCTTTAAAATTCATATCATTAAAAATATTTAAGAAATTAATTTTAAAAAACAATTGCGTTAAATTATATTATTGGAACAGAATGATAAAATATTTCGTGTTGTTTCAACTGAGAGCAGTTGTCATGTTTTTGGTTCTTGGATGGGAGATTTGGCTGAAACCACAACTCTATCGCCAAGGCTCTCTCTCTCTGAAAGGAAGGAATCAATTTCTTAGACATAGTCGTCTAAGAAATCAATGGAGTCATCCAAGATGGAAATTACTATAGTACCTCATATTACTAACAAAAACACAAAGCAAAAGCCAGAACTAACGATAAAATGTCAGAAGGTAGAATTTCACTGAAGTTTTTTTCCGCAGTACGCTGAATTGAAATGTGATCAGTTGAAAGTAGTGGCGCTTTGAGGAATGCGAAAAGCATTGAACTTTGTAACGCCATTTGAAGATAACCTTAATAGATTTATTTAAATTGATGATTATAATTTTTCGTGGTTCCATGAGCAATAATTATCTGTTGATTGCAAATTTCAATGAAGCTAGCATATCATGCATTGCTTTTCATTCATTCAGTTCGAACTTTTTCGAATATAATTTTTTCGACAAAAAAAATGTTTTTATGGACAATTTAAACAAATAAATTGTTGGCATTAATTAAATGCTTTTGTTATTTAATTTTCGAATGATAAAAATGAGATTGTTCAAATGCTTTTACCAACAACAAATAGCTGACTAACTTCCAAATGGATTTTGTGCATCGACGAAATGAGAAACATTTGCGGATTCCGCTTCCGCAAGAGAATTCTTAAAATGACTTGTCGTTCTCGAATTAATATTCCAAATATCCAAAATCCTTTCGCCCGTTATTGGATTCACTCGAATTGTATCGTTGTCTTTGCTTATTGTGCAATTGAGCTTTATCCGAAACGTCGCATAGTTAAATATTGTTTGCTTCCTGTTAAAAAAAATAATCCTGGAAAACATTTGGGGATAGAATTGCTCAGTGAGTTGTTGCTCAGTTTGGAGCGCCAGTGTTGAGGTTCGATTCTCCGCAGGAGTAAGCCTGTCCCAAAATCCGGTGATGCTGGCGACTCACCTGTATCTCTATTGCCAGCGGACTCCCTGGCATATTGCACCGTTGCGACAAGCCAGTGGAATGAGTTTAACCAGTAATGGTGAGGGCGAAATTACGAATGGATCCCCGTAAAATACCCCACTCAACGCTTATTTCTTGTTATAGACTCTTTAATCAAATTATTTATACATTTGTAGATTGAATGCATTGATTGCAAAGACTTCTTTAAAAAAAAAATCCTAAAAAACAACTAACTATCGATAAATTTTTGAACGTTTTTTGTTAATAATTTACTTCGGAATAAATGCGACTAATTTTCCAGCAAAATTTGACGAATGATCAAAATCGAAGCGAACAATCCGATCAAAAAATTTTGGAAAAGCTTCGTCGATTAGGATCTCTGGAAGGCCCTGTCTGAAGTCTTTAATATATTCCGCAGATATGGATCCCATCAACGGCTTACCGTCAGGCCTACAAGTACATTTAGCTATAATTTCTCGTGATAAGTAATTTCAGGCAAAATTTAAATATTTCAAATATAATTCACATTGAAAGGTATTGAAAGGTATTGAAAAAATCTGCATAACTAATCAAACCGACTCTGGATTGCTGAATGCTATTGATAAATGATTGGCATTATCATCACAAAATCGCACCATCATCGCTTTTCTCATGTATCCATTTTTCTGATCGTTTAAAGATAATGTTTTAAAAATTTTCAACACACTTTTAACCGATGAAAATGTGATTACCCTGCAACGTTTATTCAGCCTTGCAATTCCACTTTGACTATTTAATTACTAATTTAATGACAGAAAGCATAAGTAATAATCATTAAATAAATTTTCTAAGCATAGGACAAAATGTGCCAACAATTCAAGAATATTCCTTTACCTCGTATTAAACAAATTTAACATTGTTGGAAGTTCTTCAGTTGCTAACAGTTGTCGCTTAGACTGAGTATCTAAAATTGGAAAGTACTGTGAATAAGTATTGTGACTAGAAGAATCGAATTCAACATCTGAAACAAGCACGTTAAATTAGGCACTAAATTATTAATTAATAATCAGTATCCCATCATGCGTTTCCTTCTGCACTATGGAAGAATAGCCCACATTTTTTATCGAAATTGGTTGCTAATGGACAATATTTGTGGCCTACATCGATTATCATTTCTGTCGCCTTATAAAGCCACTGCCATAAATTATGATCAAGTATAGTGGAACAATCAGAAAGGCTGATGCATTTATCCTGAAAATGCTTGCTGTTATATTAGAAAAGATTCAAAAAAGATTAATTTTTTACTGAAGATCGTTTGATAAAAGAATTCAACATTAATTAAAGTTTAATTTAAAAAATAAGCATAATTCTGTAAAAAAAATATACCTGTATGAATTCATGCCTTGAAACCAAAACTTCTGCAACGACAGGTTCGCGAAGAAGTCGATTTTTCAATTTTTTCACCGTCGTTGAACCACCATCAGGCACAATGTTTTTAAAAAATAGCTCTTCTAATGAAAGCATGTCTGATTGATTTTTTTTACAACGAACAACCCTTGAATTGAATATAAAATACACCGAATCTACAGGTGGAAAAGGACTTAAGGCTGTAATGAATTGTGAGAGATGCATGAATACCTCGGAAGAAACAGAATGCATTGAATATGAAGGATTTCATCCACATCCAATGCTCTCGCTGATAAATACTGCGACTTGACGAAATTACGAATGGATTCCCGTAAAATGCCCCACTCAATGCTTGTTTCTTGTTGTAGACTCTTTAATCAACTTATTTATAAATTTGCAGATTGATTGCATTGGATAACTTAACTCAAATTTTCTAATTTTCAATAAGTAATTACGAATAAAGTAGAATATAATAAAGTAGATTTATTTTTTTCAGCTATAAGATTAAAACTTTCTGGTATCTGAAATATATGAAAAGAAATTCTCTTATAAAATAATGAACTTGAACTCTCAGGTAGGTATAAGAATGGCCGAGTGGTGTGCTTCCTCTGCTTCGCATTATGTATCATAGACTTGCTTGCTTCCTGCTAAGTAGGAGCAAACCTATCATAAAAAGTGAAATGCAGGTGGACACTGCTTATAATTATCTCAGATTTTCTGACGAACTTTATCAGAACCAATAAAATGTTATTGTACAGAGGTCTTAGTTTATAAATAGTAAATAGTAATTTTTCCTTCATGAAATACTTGGAGATTTATTCCAAAAAAAAGCAAATTAAAAAGCCAACATCTATTCCTGTAATTCGTTGCCATACAATTGAAGTAAGTAGCGGTTCAATTTGATCGTTCGTTATTGCTATGAGAAACTCATGTGACAATATTGTCTAGAATGAATATTTCTGAATAAAATTATGTGGTATGAAGAACTTGCATGGGGCATAGAACGGCTCAGTGGGTTTGTTGCTCAATTCGAAGGCTGATGCTGAAATTCTATTCTCTGCACGAGTGAACTTGCTCAAAAATCCAGGTGATGCTATTGAATCACCTATAGTTCTATTGTCAAAGGATTCTCTGCATAATTTCTAGAGTGATAAACTAGCCGAGCGAGTCTAACCAGTAATAGTGAGGGCTCATCATGTGGTATAAAATTTTGCAAATGACCAAGCCAAGATTAAGATGCGACATTTTTAATTGCAGTGCTAGCCGAAAGCCGGTTATATTATGGATCAGCAAATCATCTGTATTGTATTCTGAATATTTATTTCTGCCAAAATCATAATTAAAGGATAAAACTTATATGTAAAACTTAGAGATGAGATAAATGTCGGCAATGTGGTTTTAGCATAAGGAAATTCCAACAAATTGAAAAAAAATTACGTGTTTCACGCTTATTTGGTTATTAATATTGAGTGCTATCTCGACTTGGATCGAATAACGCGTTGTTAACTGGCGTCGATCAACCATTGAATTCAGCGTTACTCCCTTCAACAATTAAAATTAATGAATTTATTTATTGTAATTTAGTTAATTTATGAGCGATGAATAAAGTATAATTTTCTATAGTCTGAAGTTATAAGATATTTGCGAAATAAAAAATCTGTTGCCAGAGAAATATTTTTTATTGAACCGTTCGCCAGTTCTAGAATAAAAATTCCTTTATTCTACCTTTATTTTTGTTTTATTTTTATTAAAATCTTAAATTATTGAAAATTTTTTACGAGATAGATAGAGGAGAAATTTTAAGGTTTTCTATTCTCAAATGAGGAATTAGAACGCAATTCAGAAAATTCAATAAGCTTGAAGGGGGCACAAAATAAATTTGAGCAGTTCTGCGCTGTTTAGATTCATTCCACAGGCTGCCAGTAATATAGAAAATTAATAGGATTTAGTCGAGGCGATAATTTAGCAAACACTCGGCTATCCTGCCTTTTTACAAGGGAATATGGTAGGGAACGAAGACAGGAACCACTTATTTTTTTAAACTTATTTTGCTATCTGCGTATAATTAACAAAATGTTGTCAAATTTAGATTAGTTTATTGGTTTATTGTAAAAGTGTGCAGCCGTGTAGCCAACCCTTCCTTGCCTCCGAATTTTTTTATAGTTCAACGCCTTCCCGAAATTTTTATGATTTATGCTGTTAGAATAATATTAATGCAAAAATGCAAACAGCAATAAATATTTTAATTTCACTTATCAACCATTTTTTAGAAATTTACAAGTTTGACTTTCACATCCACTTACCAGCTGAGGGAAGACCGCACATAAACTGCCATCTTCATATTTAAAGGAAGTAGTAATTAAGGTTTCGCCAAATTCTTTCGGGAATATGCAGGAATACGTCGCCTCATCTGCTTGACTAATCACAAGTCGACCTTGTGCACTAACTGTTGCCCCAGTGTGATCTTGTCCTTTCATTACACGAGTTCCTTCACGTTGTGTTAATATTAATCGGCCAGCAGCTTGTCTGCTTTAAAGACAAGGTAGCATTATTTTTCCGTTATTTCATACATCATAGATAATTTGCAATATTTTTTTAAAAATTTACCTATCATTAGAATCGGAAGAAAGTTTAATCAAAGTGGCACGAAAAAATGCTTCAACAATTTTCAAATGTGCTGCTTTCTTTTCTTCATTTTTCGTTATTGCACATATACTAAAAATTTGCAATCTTTATCGTATTATTAATTTCAATTAGCCAAATATTCGGGAGATGTGGTTTTGCTACGGATTCTATGGTATTTTCAATAAGATGTCACACTGGCCACAGCTTTCAATACCTTTTAAGGCATTCTAAAATTAATCAAGTCCTCAATCAGCTAGTATCTCTAGTATCATTAATTTGCCAGGTTTTAGAGGCTTAATGATATAATTCAGTTCAGTAAATGTATAAGAAATTGCATTCTCACTTGGTGAAGAAATGATATAAATACTGTAAAATCACCGAATACGCATTGTCGGATGTGATGTTCTGCTCTTGATCACACTTCTCGCACGATGAATTAATGGTGCATGATCGATTGTGACTGAAGAATTATGGTTTCGATCGTTATTTTCAGCGATTCGTGTGACAGTTTTTGGCCATTCGATTATGATTGATCTATAGATATTTCTCCTAATCGTCGATAAAACATATTATATAATATGATATAAAATTAAATGATGCCCTGTAATGTAAATTTAGAAACTCATCAATCTAATGTTTATTTGGCCGATTAATATTAACACGTTTGTTTTCGTGAAAAGAATGGAAAATTTAAAGTAGAACCTCGAATTAGTATTCTCATTTAAAATGCTTAATGAAATGAAAATATATTTAACCTATGAAGCGAGGAGAATAAACGAATTTCGATAGTTAACAATTTTTCATGAAAGTATAGACTCATTCAAATAGTGCTTGGCCTCCTCATTCATAACTCATACTTCTTTGCCTTTTTTCTTTCGTTTTTTTATTCTTTCTTCATATTTCTTGGTTTGTAATAACTGATTTACTTTTACTCCTATTTGATTTTGAAAATTTCTTTCAAAACTGTTACGCACTCTTGTATGATTTGTTCAATGAGAGCAATCTGAGCAGCTTGTTGATCAAACTGTATAGGAGCTTCAATAACTTTTTGAAGTAGCATAGCGAATCTGATATTGAAAGATATTTATCAATTATTACAGTGTAGTGCAGAATGAAATGGCTTTATTTTCGATATTTCCTATATATTTGTTATAATTTCCATAATTATAATTTTGTGAGAAAGATTGACAGAAAGTTACAGATTCATGAGATAGGATAGCCGAGCGCTTGATATTTAGGATCCCGTTCCGATCGTCGAGGTTCAAGCTTTGCGCCTGGTAGGAATAAACCTAGCGAGTGGTGCTGGCTACCTGTCTGCACTACCATCGCTTAGTAATTCCACTGAGGAAATTTCGCATCGTATTAAAGCTAGTGAAGTGCACTTAAGCACGAATAATGAACGCTAAGCACTTTTACTTACTTTCTTCATCTTATAATTAGCCAAAAAGTGAAAAATTCGCTCTTTATTTTCGCTATTAAAATTCACAAATCTTAAATGATTATAGAACGTACCACAGAAAATCAGTCAGAATCAGTCAAAGATAACGAATAACTTACTTTGGCATAACATTCCATTCATCAATTTTATATGGCGGTATAAGCAAACTCGCTCTTTTCTGTGCAGCCATCCACTGAATTAAAAAAATTCCGCAAGAAATGGTGAAATAGAAAAAAATTTATTTTTCAATTTATTTTTCCGTTGATTATTGTAAATCCAGTAGAGTTATAACGAATTTCAAGATAGAATGACAGCAATATTTTTTGGTTACACTGGCCAACTAATGAGAGAAAGAACGATTGAGCTCTCATATAAATCCATCGCCTTAATTTCGTACTTACCTCAAATCCCTTTCGAACAATCCCGATTTATATGAAATTGGAAGAGACAGTGGTGATGGTCGAAGAAATCGAAATCATTTAAGTCAATGCTTTGTTAAATGCTTTGCATGCAAATAACCAAAATTAGCCATCTAACTTTATTATCAATCTGTTCAATTTCTCACAATGAATCTGGCGAGCATTCTTCTATTCGGGCTTTCATTAAGTAGCATTCTTACAATATTTATTAAAATTCAAACTAACTTTTCGTTTTTCAGCCAAAAGTGATGCGAGTTCACTTCGAAATTTGAACAAACTTTCGACCTTCTTCGAGCTACTCATTCAAATGTTTAATGTTTATGTAACTCACAGAAAAAAGGATCGTTTTTAATTGGATTTTTGAAATTTCAATGAAACAAAATCGTTGTGAATCGATAATCAAAACTATAAATTTAAGTAATATTAGTGTTTAAATCGATTGACTTCAACGAATTAGACGTGGAATGTAATTTTTGAAATAAATTTAGAATTGAATTGGTGTACCGATGATATTTGCATTTTCATAAGAAAGGATTTTAAGCCTTTCTTTCCTCTATTATTTGTTACAACGCTATTCCCTAGCAATTTATCCTTCAAGTAACCAAGCAGAGAGCACCATTTTGCTCACCAATCGATCACTTATTTTCTGAATGGCGTTATATCTATTGAAAACTAATTTGTGAAAAATTACAAAAATGATGACATCTCAAAAAAAAAAAACAAAAAAAAACGGTGAAACTATGAAGCCAAAAAGCTAAACACATAGAATGTTTTGTTTCAAAAGCTAAATGAGGAGTTGATAAAAATAGGGCGGACGACTTACTTACTTAGCTTTAATTGATAATTGATAACATCAGCAGTCAAAAATTTTCCTATCATAAGTCTAACGCTGATATTGTATACTTTAGAAAATAATCGTCGTTAATGATAAATTCTTGGTTTTATCATCATTCTTTTGATTTCTATAAATTTTGCTTGATAAAAATTTCTCTTGTAATAAAATTACCGTAACTTCTTTAGCTATTTTTTTTTAATTTGAAATTTTTTATAAAAATGAATTAGAATAAAAATAGAAGTTACGGTGTTACGCCATTATATTTCCACTGAGTAAACGAAAAAAATTGCCCTTTAACATTCATTTAATAAATGATAAGATTATTAGAGAAGTGCCTTTTTCGCAAAACAACTTTTTCTTGTATCGTATGCTTTGATAATTTTGTTCCAGTTGATTGGTACCGAAGATTTACCTTGAGAAATGGCTTGTGAAGAGCAAATTCTCAATCAAAGTATTCATTAACCCTTATGCAAATAATAAAACTAATTCGACGACTTTTATGACGAACTTGTATGACTATGCGTCGGTTAATATTCATTTTACCACAAATTTCGCCAATTCCCATGATTTTTTTAAAGCGTTCTCATCATTACTCGTTAAGCTCGTTCCGCTGACTTGTCGCACTCAGCAAATACGCCAGAGAGTCCCTTGGCGATAGAGGTACAACTCTTGCGGGCAATAAAGCCCCAGCATCGGTGCTCCGAAATGAACAATAACCCACTGAGCCATCCTATTCCCATAAATTTTACCGTTTTGATATTTGTGGTTTATATATAACATTGCAATATATTCTATATTCTGCTCGTATTAATTGTTATAAAAATTGCTTGTGCTTTTCATTGTTTATCATCGATACATTTTCATTATGATCATAAATCTAAATTAATTGCTGAAAAAAAGAATTCTCTTTTACAGCGGAACGAAAAATTTCTGAAACTTTTGAAAGATTGCGATGCAAAAATAAAAAATATGTCTAAATTATAATACTGTAAATGTTTTTTCGTAGCAATTTTATTTTATAAAATTTTACTTTAGAAATGAAATAATAATTAAAAAGCTTTTATAAATAAATAAAAGTTTCACGAAACATAAACTGGCTAATTATAATTACTAAGCTTTCAGATACGGCACCGGACGCTTGAAAACGCCTCATCCTCTTCAGCAGCAGAGGAACCAACCTGACCGGCAATGGTACACATTTTGAAGGATTTCTCGCTAATTTGGTTTTAGTTTAGGAATGGCACTTCATTGAGAGTGCCACCCAAAACGTGGTTCAATGTGCGAATCAATTCAGTTCAGCCGATGTCCGACGGGCGAAAACGTCGTTAAATAAACGCTCGATATTTGAGAAACTACTAAATTTTATGTAACCATTCATCGCCGTTTGATTTCACTATTCCCTCATATCATATCATTTTAACTAGAATATACACCAAAAATCATTCATTTTTCATAGTTGCTTTGTTCTATTTCAGTTTTTTTCTGTGTATCATCTTTATATTTTCATTTACCTATTTTTAAAATTTCCTTTTCAAAAAAAGTATTACGAATATTTTAATTTTTTATTGCAAAAATTATAATGCAATATAAGGAAAAGTATTTAATGAGATTTCAAAAAATTTCAAGAAATAATACATAGTTGAATACGTTGCTAATTAAGCAATTTTAAAAATTATTGTTTTATGTGAATTTTACGAATAATTCGACGAAAATGTTCGGTAAAAATTTCGAAGATATGAAGAATTTTGAATGAAGTAAAAATGAGGTGGTGAGAGGGGGAGGAGGGGGGCAGAACAATCATTTATTCACTTGCCAATATACCAATAATTTAGAATTCAGCCATTAACAAGATGTGATTTAAATTTATTCTAAGCTTAAACTATAATAGCGCACCTGGAACAGCACCTGGAATCGCACGTATGTATGATATCGCGAAGATCGAGCAAGGCGAGTCGGTTCATTCCACCAAAAAGTTCGGGAAATTAGGCCATTAACTCTAACTTCATAATGTGAAGAAATTTGATTCAATTGTGATAATTTTTCTAAATAAATATCAATTTTATGACTGGAAATGATTGAAAATCTACAAACTTTTCCTATTAATCAAATATTAGTTGGCAAGAAAATTTGTTTAATTTTTGCAGTCTAAAATTATATTGTTTGATGAAAGCACTGAAGACAATTTATTTATAAAGAGAGGCAATGTGATTATTTCTCATGAAAAATCCCTTTGTTACAAATCATTTGCTTTAAGTATTTAACGATTTTTAGATCTACAAACATGTGCAAAAATGATTTTAAAAAGAGTGTATTAATGATCAGCAATTTTTGATTATCAGTGATAAGATTGACTTAACACGTGAATAACCTCCAATTCGGTTAAATACTATAGAGATCATTTTGCTAAACTCTTTATTGCATAGAAGGAAATAAAAAATCTCTCTCTCAACAATTATGCAGATTCCTCTAACCAGCACGGTCATCTTATCGCTTACCGGTTCCGGTTACACTAACTTTGCTGGCTGCGAATCACTTGGCAATACGAGGATCACCCATTACCCGAAGTTTTTAATGATAAATTTACTCAAGAATAGGAGTCAAACCCTTTCTTTTTAAGATAACCACAACCCTCTCTTCTGCCTTCTTTCTTCCATTTAAATGATTATTACGAAAAAAATCAGCTAAAATCGCTTTCTAAATTTTATTTCAATTCGTGTGAGAAAAACTAAAGGAATAATAAGGATTAGTGAAGACATATAAAAAATTTCCCATTATTAAGTAAGTAAAAAAGTGCTCGCACCATTTCTTGCCAGGCTTACTCTTATATGTGTTGATTATGTCAATACGATAAAAAATTTTTGCCATCGAATTGTTTTTTTTTTTTACTCACCATCCTCACCATTACTAATTAAACTCGCTCCACTGGCTTGTCACATTGAGCAATATACCATTGAGTCCTTTGGCGATAGAAATACAGGTGAGTCGCTAGCACCATCCAGATTTTTGTATAGGTTTACTCCTTCGCGGGATCGAACCTCAGCATGGGCGCTTCCGATTGAGCGATAACCCACTGAGCCATTCTATCCCCCAATTACAATCCATTGGTCCTTTCTGTTCAAATTTGTAAAAATTAATATAATCAAAATTATATTTTGTTTAATTCACCTAATTTTAAAAGAATCGATACACACGCCAAATTTAATTTCATAAAAATAATTTAAGGAAGAATTCGCACCACACCGTCGCAGAAAGTGATTTCATTTCATCTCTATTAATTTATTTGTCATTTCTGTTTAGGGAGATAGGAGGAGGGAGAGGGGTTCATAAATTTTAACAAGAAAATGCTTAAGAATTGAAAAGTTTTGAACATTGCATTCAGTTGTTCCAGTCTCTTTACGATTATCCTATCTCATGGGTCAGATTCATGGCCCTTGTCAACAACTATTATCAATTACACAAACTAAAAGGGAATTGCTGAAGGCAGGTTGAAATTTTATGTAGAATCCAACATTTATTGATAGGTACCATGTATTTATAATATTTTAAAGCAGACTAACTAGTGATGTAATACAATTTATGTTTCAAACTTTGAACAATTCAGATTTTTCAACAATGAATTATTTTATTTTGTCTGAAATTCCGGAAACAAATTGTTTCTTATATTTTTCATTAATAACGAGTTTTTTTTAAGGAAGTTATATAAAAAATCTGAAACTCTTACAATAACCTTAACAAATCTGTAAAGCAGCGTTATTCTTTATTAAAATCCTCTGAAATCCTCTTAACTTTAGAATTTATTCGTGTAATGAATTAATTTTATTTTATTTAACGAAAGTTGAATATTGAGCTGTAATATTTAATTATTTGAAAATTTGGGCCTTAAAACGAATAGAAATGCGTGATACGGTAGAACATTTTTGGTTGTTGTGGCTTTCCCGTGGAAAGAGTTGCGGCATTGTTGTTAATTTTTATTTTGGTGTTGGTGAGGGTTAATTTAAACGGTTTTGTACTTTGTTCTTTGGCACTTTATTTAATTATATTTATTGCTTTTACAATCTTATAGCAATAATTTGATCGTTTTTTAATTTCTGTATATCTGCATTCTATAAGCAAATTAAATTTTTCTAGAAAATTTTTTGCTTATCATTTCTGGCTTGGCTGGCTTCGCTAGGGTGCAACCTAGGGTGTTGGCCGGGAAATCACTAGGGTATTCCAGATGAGCGACCAATGCTACCTGAATTTAATGCTAAGGGTTTGCTGTGATAGTCCAAATAGTACATGCCTTCTCCTGTTGCCCCTATGTTTTTTTGGAATTGCTTTCATTATTTATGTTTACTGAATAAATTGTTAACGAAACATCTGTATTATCTATGTTACTTTTAAACAAACCTTGTCGTATTAAACCATAGGATATTGATAGAAATTCATATCAATCACTGAAGTAATATAGTTTCAGTTTTTCAAAAAAATTTCATTTTTTCAGTTTCAGTTTTTCATTTTTTAACTGGTAAAGTAAAAAAGTGAAAAATCAATTGATTAGATTATTTGCTGGGCAAAAATCATTTTTTGTCTTTGATTTTTTAAAATTTCGTTTCGAAATCGAAATTTTATAAATTTATTTTCAGTTTATATAAAGTGCTTAAAACGACAAAAAAAGAAGCATGATCATTTCAGTGTTGATTGTATTCACAGTTGTAGCATCAATAACTATTTTATTGTTTTTGATTTTTAAGGGATTCTTTAAAGAAACAGATTTTGAAAAGGTATACCTTATTGTATTTGTTATCGGCTAATTCAACTGTCATTTGTCAATTGCTCGTTTATGCATGGTTATCGCAATTGCAATTTTCCACTCACGTTATTAACTGTATTAGATCGACAGCCACAAAGAACCATGCCTATGCGAGAAATTCTCATAGACTTCCGTTTTCATATAAGGATTGTAAAGATTAATAAAACATCTTGGTCATTTTTCGATTGGGGCTACATCTACAAATTATCCTCAAAATGATCTTACGGAATGTTTTTCTTTTAAATCATTGGGAAGTCGTTTTAGCTTTCTCTCTGTCTTACAATAAATTGAAAAAGTTCATTTTGTATTTTTTATTTGTTTATCATTCTGTCACAGTAGTAACTTTGCATTAAATATTTATGACGAAAAAAATGCTTAAATTATACCGATTTTTACCAAAAAATTTTTAAAGCTTCCTTTTTTCCTGAATAAAATTCAGTAATTTTATTAGAATCCAGTCTCATTGATTTTCAAAATTATGTGTAATTTTTGATGCAGTTATTCATACAGGCATATGGAAAGAAAGCGCTACTTCTGTTATCGGACGAAAAGGTCAATAAAACTAAAGGAATGAAAACGAGTAAAGCAAAATCTAAGAAGAAAAAAGAGAGTGAAAAGGACCGTCAACAAGAAGTAAAATTTTGACACTAAGTAAGAAAAGAATAATGATTTCTGAAAAGTGGCTTGTTGATTATGAAGGGTTTTTTCTCACAAAATTTTTCAGGTCGTCATTAATGAAGATATAACTGATGAAAAAAGCTCCGAACGTGATTCGACTCAAAGCGATCAAGAACCAGTTGAAGATCTTAAGTCTAAGAAGAAAAAGAAGAAAGGTGAGTCATTTATATATATTTATGTTTCGATTTCATGTTTAGTTCAATTGCTTTCCATCTATTTTAGAGAATTCTCAGTTTTTTTAGATTTTGTTGTTCATTTTTATTTGTGCTTTTTATTAATTGGCAATTTTTTTAATTTAAAAATTCAGTCATATTCTATTAAAATATATTTGAAAATAATTTTTCACTTGTAATTGCTTGACATTTCCTTTGTTTGAAAATAGTTACAAGAGGATTTATATGTTACCTACATCTATTTTGTTCAAGGTGGAAAATATAAAAATTCATCCGATTATGCTGAGGAAGAGCAGGTTTCTGTGAACAAAGTTATGTCCCAGTCTCTTCCAGCTAATGACCAATCTGCAGTTGCTAAAATAGTTTCTTCTGATGGTATTAATTGAACTTCTTTTATTTTTTCTTCCTTATTCATTTATTCAGAATAATATCTTTTTTTTGAAAATTCATCTTCGTCTGTTAAAATTAAATTTTTTTCATCTTATGCTTTTAGTAAATCAAGAAAATATTGTGGAGGATAATAAAGTGAAAAAAAGAAAGAAGAAAAAAAAGAAGGAACTCGCTGAAGAACAGCATGTCGAAAATGAGCATTTTCATCGCGAAGAAGCATTTATGGTCACAAGTAGTTTGCCCGAAGAATACAAGGAAAGTAAGCTGGGTTTATGTTTTCGTCGTTCTCATTATATTTGTAGCTAATTGGTGAAAATAAAATGTGGGCAGTATTTTATCATTTTATTATGAACAATCGATGTATATTCATTATTTGGAGTAGTCATTTGATCGATAAGAAAGATTATTTTTTCGGCTAGAAAGGTTTATATTCTTGGTACAATTTCTATTCTTACACTTTAAATGGTAATTCCTAGCGTTCCACTTTTTGTGCTGAAGAGCTTAGATGTCACGAAATGCTTACCGCTTAATTTGATTCAATTTACATCCTGTAATTTCTCGCAATTCTCGTTCCTTTTTTATATCTTCATCCATCATTAATATGAAAATGTGAATTGGCTTAAAAATTTGAATTGAATAAAGGAATAAAGAAATGTGATATATATACTATAAAGTACAATAAGGTAAAATTTTTCATGAATAATTTTATCGTATTGTAGGGAAAAAAGTGGAAATAACAAATGAAATATTGCTTGAGCGTCTAGATGGTGTTGATGACCTCGAACCCGAATATAAAAATTACTTAAACAAATATTTCAAGGAGACGAATGCTGATGTATGTTATATTTTAAAAAAAACTTGTTTTTGAAATATTTTTTAGATTTTTTTGATTGTCTGAGTGCGTATCCTTATGAATTTTATGGCATTTCGTTTATTTGAATTGAATTTGAAATTTATATATATATATATATATTTTTGTTAATTTAAATTAGAGACTCAGTTGAAAAAAGAAAAAGTTATGAAACGAAAGGATTTAGGTTTGATACAATAGAAAATGCAAAAATAGTTTTAAATTCATTTTTCTATAATTTTTCTAGCTCAGAAATTTTTTCTGAAATTTTTGAGATTATTACGGGCCTTTTCCAGATTAATAAGCTTCAAAAAGAAAAAAGCAAAATCGAGGAACAGATGGCTGAAGTAACTCGACAGATGCGAAGTTTATCGCAACAAGCAGCGGCAGCCAATGAATACAAAGTAGCTGTAGCAAACATTAAGTACATTTTTTCTTCTACTATTAGTTCTTGTTTAAATACTTAAAATTTATATATTTGAAATTTAAAAAAGAAATACCTATTTCAAGATTCGATAATCGAGTGCTGTTGAAACAGCTTAATTTATTGAATGTGCATTTAGTCATAAACTTGTGGAGGAAAAGAAAAAACATGCCATGTTTGAGCAATCAATTACTGCCAGAATGAAGCAGACCATTCAAGAAATGGAAGTCATTCAGCGAATGCGCGATAAGGTAAAGAGAAAAGTTTTAATTTTTTCGAGGTTATTTTCATATTTTCTGTTTATTTTGCAGTTTAAAGATGAAGCTGATGTGTTGAAAGATCAACTTAAAAAAGTCAAAATGGCACAATCTTCGATAGATGTCAATATGTATCAAAAGAAAATAGAAATGTTGGCCAATGTAGGTATTTAATCTATTTTAGTACATGAAAAATATTTAATGCTGCATGTTTTACCATTTCGAATTACTGGCTTTTTTATATTCTATATCATCTACGCTATAATCATCTAATTAATTTTTCAGAACTATTACACTTTTTGACATTTAAAATTATCAGAATCGTATAAACCAGGGTCATTGTTGTAGAATTCATGAAACATATTTGATGCCATTGCTGTGTTTAGTTTTTTAGCGATCAAGATCTCATGTTTACCAGCAACATTTTTTTGTTACATCGCGTTTTTCAGGAATTAAATGCATCGAAGGATCAAATATCTCGTGTAGAAGTGGAAAATAATCAGCTTAAACAAACCTTGCAGAAACTAACGGTCAATGCTAAAGTTTGTGCACTTATCTGGAAATCTGGAATTTTTTTATAATTTTTAATATTTTAAAAATATTTTGCTTTCATTTCAAAAATATTTTCATTTTTTTGATATTGGATTTATACAATTATTATTATCTATTTATTAGGAGCGGGAATGCGAATTGGAAAGATTGATTCATGAAAAGGCTTTAAATAAGAAACGGGAGCATGAACTCGCTGAAAAACATGTATGTTTTCTTTTAAAAAAAATCAGCTTATCATTACCATTTCTGATTATCCACCATGTCTGATTACTTACCATTTCTGATCAGGCTATCTCTTCTTTCTGTCAGTATGATTGGAAATTTCTGCCGTGGGATCACTTGGCGATAAAAGTAGGCTGTCAATGCCTCCGGATTTTTTAATAGCATGTTTATTTCTGCGTAGGCAAAAGCCCTTAAACCCTTGTATCTCAGCACAATGATCTGATCCATTGATTTACTCTATTATCCTGCCCCTCTTATTATAATTGTAGAAGTATCGAAGAATTTAACAAATCTAACAAATCCGATTTTAGTTTTTTTATTTCAATTCAAATCTGTGATTCCAGTCTTTTCAAAAATTATTTGGTTGATCTTCAATAATGTGAATTCAGAGTTCTGATTTAACGTTGATGGATGTCAAGATGACAGAATTAGTTAAGAAGGCCGATGATTTGGAAGAAGAGGTTGTCAGTTGGAAAAATAAGTTGGAAGAACGATCAGTACTGGCAGAATCTGTTGAAGCAGATTGCAAACAGGTATTTTTTATCGTTTAATTGTAGCCATTTCAGAACAAAAATTATTTTTCAAATTTATTTTCCATTAAAACATTTTATTGGAAGTCAAGATAAGAAATCCTGAGAATCAAATAATTTAAAAGAAATTCATTTATCCAGTGTGCAAACTTAAGGTTTTATAGAACCAGTAATTTTTTTTCTTTAGCTTCGAGAGCAGCTGCATTCACTTCGAAATCGCATGAACGGTGTTGAAAAAGAGCGTGATGCAATTCGAGATGAAAATTCGAATTATCAAAAAGCGTTGTCTGAAATAAATGCAGTCAATGAAACTGTTTGTCAAATGTTTTTAAAATCATTCGTTTCTTTATCCATTTTAACAATATTATGAATTGTTACTAAAGTTGAATTATATTATGTTATAGCTCAATGAGCAATTGAAAATACAAATTGCGGAATTGGATATTATCAAAACTTCAAAAGAACATCTAGAACGAGAAAATGAGAAATGTCGTTTAAGACTAAAGGAAGTAGAAAATGCTTTTAATGAAGTAACTTCGTTATTCTTTTCATTAATAAGCCAGTAGCTGTGGCATTTTTCCGTAAATACACTCATTTATTTGTCGGTTTGCAGAATTCTGCCATACTCAAACAAGAGATAGAAAATCTTCGGATGGCAGTCAAAGAGAAAGAACTGAGGTGAATTTTATTTTCTTTGAAAGCTTTATTCAGTCGTTTTCAATCATTCCCTAAGGATATCTGATAGATTAAGGATATCGAGTTTTTTTTTTTTTTAAACATTCTTTTTCAGTCAGGCCGATGAAAATCAGTCAAAGGATGTTGTCCACTCTGTGAAAGAGGTTTCTTATTTATTTCTTTTCCATATGTCATAATTATTTCGTCAATTGATCTCAATTCAAAAAAAAATTTAGATATCCAGGTCGTACAATAATAATCAAGAATCGAGTAATCAAGAAATCGTCATATTTAAGAATCGCATAGCAAAGCTGGAGCAAGAATTGGAGGAAAAAATTAAAAGAAATATGGTTAATCCATGTTTATGTTGATATATTTTTTGTTTTTTAAAAGATCCGATCAGTCTGTTTTTGAAATTTTTGCCTTGCAGGATTTAAGAACAGCAAATTATCAACTTGTTGAGATCAATCAAGAGCAGGAACGAGTTTTTTTGAAACAATATGAAAAAACTGAAGTGAATTTTTTTTGCTTATTATTTACGGTTGCTTTATGATTGATTTGTTTTTTTATGTTTTTTCAGAAGTTTAATTAATTTTAATTTAAAACATTTTAGCGTGAAAGTGAGTTGGTATTTCGAGATTTTTGTGAGAAACTGATGGAAGATTTAAAATCGGTTACGCAGTTTACTGTTATTTATCCACCAATACCAAAACACTGCGATGCTAAAAAATGTCGCATTTGGTTAAAAGAAGTTGCCATGATGCTTATAGAAAGGCACATTTCCAATAAAGATGGGGAACTTCAGGTATTGTTATAATTCAGAAGTTTTATGTGCCATTTTTAGCTTTTCCACTTATTATTCTGCTTACAGATTACGTCAAATGAAGCTCTGATTAACGCTAACGAAGAAAATCGGAAATTGAAAAGATATCTGGCAAATACTGTTCGTTCCTTGAAATACCTAAAAATATAAAATTGCTCCTTTATATTATTCTGCAATAAATACGCTCAAAGTTCTTTATTTTCTATTCTTTTGTTCCTATTATAGGCTGTTTTGTTGGATGTTATCGAAAAAGAAGCAGTTGAGAAAGAAAAGAGATATGGGAATGAAATTGCTTCACTGAAAAAGGAATTAAAACAGGTTATTTCTGTTCTTTTTTTATTGATTGTGAGCTTAAATTTGCATGTCTTATTAGCGATTTTTATAACAGTACCGATTTTTATTCTTGCACTCATAGTAAATTTGGAAAAAAGCTTCAATCATTTATCGTATTTTAATCGACTTCACAAGATGAGTATTTTTGTTTTGTCCTTACTAAGCGATGAATTCGATCGATTTTACGTCTCTCTTTTATTCATATCAAGTTTTAGCAAGTTTTTTTGTCTTTCTTTAATGTTTTCTTTTTCAAGCTGACATTTATTTTGTTTTCAATTTGCATTTCTCGTCGATTTTCCATATATTTTTCCATATTCATATCGGATTAGCTGGGGATTACGAAGTTTTTGCTTTTTGATTTTACTTTTTACTCTTATTTCGACTGTTCTTTATTATTCTTAGTTTATGACTGATGTTTTGAAATTTTTTATAACGGATTCCTTTATGTTGAATAGAGTTTTTTATTTCTATTTTTTAGTGATTGGAGATTTTTGCGGATCCTGTATCATTTTCATTTGTAACTGTGGCATAGGAACTGTTTTAATCTTTTCTTCTGGAATTTATTTTTTGCATTTTTTAACATCAGAATAGCATTTTTCCAAGGCTTTTCGGTCAGTGCGTTTAATTCATTTTTTTCTTGGGTTGTTTATCATAGTTCTGTTTTTTATAAAAGCTTCAATTTTCCTTTTTTTGCTGAATGAGTGATATGTGATTGAATATTTAAGTATGGAAAGAAATATTTGTCGCATCATTTAGTACTAAATTTTCCGTATTTGTCATATTACAGTATTTCAATGCCATCTGTTGCTTATTATTGCAGCAAGGTCAGCTGAAGAAAAAAGCGGACGACAAGTGTATATTTCGCAAAGAAATAAGTGAGCATGGCACAGGATTATCTATTATGCATAATAAAAATGGTTATGAAACTGGCTTAATTCTCGATAAGTTCGATGTTCGCAGTGGGAATTTGGACGAGCAGCGAGAAATGATCTATGAGCACGATATTAGTGTACTTAACAGTTTTTCATCATCTACTGATCACAATAGTAGTGATGATGGCTGGGAAGTTGTTAGTTGACTGCCATTATAATAAAATATATATTGGATATGTTTATTTCGATCAATCCAAGGCAGATGGCCTTGGTTATTTTCTCTAAAAAAAATTGCTTCTATAAAAATTGAAAGCGTAAAGGGTAGTTTGCGAGAAAATTGTCCTTCACTGTTTTACTGCTTTTATTATAGATGTAGTTCTTTAGGTTTATGTAGCGTGTTGCTATTTTTATCTCATTGGTATTATTATTTAAAGTATTATTAATGATGTTTGACGCATTCCTTTAGAAAATGCTGGATCTCGGAAACGAGTTAATCAAAATATTACCCGGTCTTTGTTGCTTCAAGGTTCAAAAGCTGCTTAAAGAAATTGAGTATATGTAAATTCAGTTGAAAATTTGTTTGTTTTTTTACTTATTTCCAAACTTTTATTGGCTCTATTTGAGGAAATAGAAAATTGGGACAAATTGCGAAAGAAAATAGGAAATTTCTAAAGATGCTTTTGAACCAAACGAATGTTTGCTTTTGATTCACGATCTTTGTCATCATTACGCAAATAGTGATGTGCGAAAAAAAAATTTAGTGTTGAAAGGTTATGAAATATTTTGTATTTCCTATGTTTTGAAATTCAAGTTCAATTAAAATTTATGAATTGACATCTAGAGTTCGTTACTGATCGAAAAGAAGTAATTCGCCTGGAAGTAAATCCTGGCTTTGGTTTGTTTTTTGCTGTAGACGTGAATCCATCGTCATTTCCTAAATTCTCTTTCATTATAATTCTAATCTAATTCCAGTTCTTTGTATTTACAATTGTTAATATTGTCTGCCTCAATTCAAACCTTGAATTTGCTTTTTTGTGTTATTTGCACTTTTTTGTAGCCAATTGTTCTGTCCCATTTACTAGATTCCTTTCACAAGGAATTTTCATTTCATGAATTTAAACATAAATTTTATGAGTTCAAAATTATTGTTTGAGCGTATTTTAATTTTCATGCATTCTCTGATATTCTCATTAAATCTTTAGTTGGCATTTGTTTCTAGATTGATCTGATATTTTTACATGGTTTAATTAAAAATTTAACATATTTTGTCAAATTTCCTAGCATTTTAGTTAGATTGAGAGGCTGATAAAGTTGAAAGATTTAAAGAGAATTCGTTATAAAGGATAACTATGCACTGAAATTATATCGTAGAGTTTTCCTTGGATTTTTGCAAATTATATTGGCATTCTAATGATACGAAAAGTTTGAAATTTAATATTAAACATTGAATGCTAGCAAATTTATGAAACAAAAAATATTTTGGACAAAGTGGTGAAGTAAAGACAGAAGAATATATTGTGAGTATCTTTAAATCGTGTAAATTTTTATTGCAGGTATATCAATCAACGGGAAGATTACAAATCCAATAAGGCAACGTTGAAGAACTTGTGAATTTAGCGATATATAAATTTTCGACCGAAGTATATGTCAAATAACTTGTTATGTTACTTTTTTTTTAATATGTTCGATATTTTGTTAATTTGTCGTGGATACATTTCTGTTTCATCTAGTTATTAGTGGGCTTGTTTGTGGTATCACCATAGCTTTGAAAAATCACAAATATGTAAATTCTACTTGATTAGATTAATACAAAACCCGTCTTCATAGATAAGATTCATTTTCCATCTTTTTCATTATACTGCTAAAGTATAATCAAAAAAAATTGTTTGATAGGAAATACGAATGTGGCCCAAATTCATTTCTCAAAGCGAGCGATTTGAAGTAATGACTTGGTAAGTCTTGGGTAACCGAATATGAATTTGAATGAGATATCTTCGATTTTTTTAATGTATGTTTTCTTAGAAGTCATTCCATTTTATTGCAAAAGTGATGTTAAATGAGATGCTGCGGTTCAGTGGTTCTCAACCTCCTTTGGTGCTGCTTATTATCATTTTAATAGTACAGTTTTTCTATCAGTTTGAAATAGGTTTATTGGCTTGATTTTTTTAAAGAGAATTCACAATTGGTCGTTAGACTCATACTAGACATGCTAAGGAGTCCTTTGGCGATGAAATTATAGGCGGACCGTCACTGTTAGCCATATTTTTGGATAAGTTTACTCCTGGCAGGAGTGGAACTTGAGAATTGAATAACAACCCATTGAACTCTTTTTTTGCTTTTCTTCTTTAGGCGACAGTTCCGCCTGACGAAGAGTGGTGCATCGACAGAATCGAACCCAATCCAGGTAAGTTTATAATAAAACAATAATAATTTACTCAACACCGATGTTCATAAGGACTCATTAATCTTAACTGGCAAGGAGATTGATGCACGGGACAAACATAAAAAGATTGATTGATGCTAGATAGGAAACCGGCAGCACTTCGACGTAATATCATAGAATATTGCGACAGAATCAATTATATTCATGAATGAGGTCGTATGTTTTAATTTGTCGACTTTTTTTTCGATCAGCAATCGTAATTCATGAATATCAGCTTTGATTCATCTAAATTATTTTTGAGGTTGAGGACTACGATCCAATTTTTCATACACTGATTTTTTTCATTTTTTGTAAACAAGAATTGTTTAATTTATTGCTTTTTTAATGTGAGCTTTTATTTATTAGATCTTGGAATCCAAGGTCTTAAAATTTAGGCTTTAATAAATTGTATTTTGCGACTGTAATGTACTTTCTCCCTATTATTTTACGAAAAGGAAGACTCTAGTTGAAATATTTGAGCAACAAATTTTCAAATCAACAAATGTGTCTTAATTTGTTTTCCATGTTTAATATCGTTTAAAACCCTTTCATTAGTTTTATTCGTAATCCTTGAACACAGCAAAAAATTGAACGTAAAAGAGGTAGAATATCTTTAAATAAAATCAGGTAAATGAACGAAAGAATAAAGAAATAAACCCTCTAGAATTTCAAATGTTTATATGTACAAAATAAACCAATTTCACCAATTTCACGCTATTTACAATGTCGATGCCGATATGAAGCAAATTTAAATGAGCTATTCCAAAACTAAAGATGCATAATCGAAATGAAACGAGTTGATTAAGTGAAATAAGCAAATCTTTCACGTCATGAAATTATAGAAATCTATATCTACGTTAAATTAATAATCACACGGAATTAATCAAATTAAGTGGTGTGCAAATCATCTAGTTTATTTTTCAAGTTCATGCTTTAAACCGAATTTCTTGGAAACCTTTTCACCGACCATTTCAGCGATAGCCAAGCTGCTAGTCGCACCAGGGCTCGGAGCATTTCGCACATGTAAAATTCTACTGCCGAGTTCTCCGCTACCACTGTCAAAAACGAAGTCATCTATTAAATTGCCCATTTCATCTACGGCTTGCGCTCGCACACCGGATGGACCTCTATAATAATGCCTTGAAATCTTATCACTGTAGGCTGAAATTCAACCACACAGTCACTACCTTTTGCGGTTTTTTTTGTTGCTATCTAAAATAATGTTAATAATGTCAAAGCTGGAATAATAAGCCGAAATTTACCTCAAAACATCGCTAACAGACAACTCAGGCAAAAATCGCTGCAACTGTTTCACTTGAGCACTAATGAAAATACCTCGATACATTTCTTTCATACCAAAAGTAAAATATTTTCCCATCAGCTTATGCATTCCTCTGTAAGCACAGCACATCATGCTTAGTGCATATTTAAAATCAAAAATGAAAAAAATAGAAATAGTAACAAAAATGAAAACAAATAAATAAAAATAAATATACCGAAAAGATAGTGCATCATAAAGATCTGAAAATGATATTGAGAAATACGAATATCCCTCTCGCTTATATGCCAAAACCGCATTTGGTCCAAGCCAAACGTCTGAAAAGCTATTTTTTTCCCTATTTAATTGTAGAAAATGAAAATATAAATGTTAAATCTGACCAAAATGTATCCATCAACTACAAATCTTATAAGATTATTTCCAAAATGCCGTAATCCAAATAAAAACATGATGGTGATATACGGATTAAAAATAAATCCTTAATCGAAAAAAGCCAACCGCCATTCATGCGAGGAGTGAAATGGACCCCAAGAAATGGAAAACGTGGGTCGGGTACCTAAAAATGAAGCAAATTAAAAATCCATTTATTAAATTAATAGAAAACAAAATCAGAAATTCAGGCAAAAATGAGGAAGAAATATTATATTTTTATCTACTTTCGATAATTTATAATAAAAGAATGCAGAGAACTGTTCAAAAATCAAACTATCAAAAAAAATTACAGGATAAACATTTGTCTCTATCATATGCTGTTTTTTTGAACTTAACAGCAGATATTCTCCGCGAAATGGTATTATTTTCGGGCTGGGTGAACATCCCGAAAGGCGAGCAATGCGATCAGCTTGTAATCCTGCACATGTAATTAAATATTTGCATTGAATTTCGACCTAAATAATTTAACATTGTTAATCTAAAAAAATTAATAAAAAAAAAATAAAGATTTAATCGAAAGATCAATCATTGAACAATTATTAATTTATTAGGATGACTGACTTAATAACCAGATAAGAAATTACATGACAATTGCAGAATGACGACAACAAATATATCAACATATCAAAAAAATCAAACCAAAAAATTTAGCCAAAATTATTGACCCAATGTGAAATTATTCTATTTAACAGTTTACCTTCAGACTGTGCAAAAATTAAATTTGGAAAAACTGGGATTTAAAAAATGATGAGAAGAATCAAAAGGACAAAATTAAAATCAGTTTGAAAGAAAAAAAACGGACCAAATTCGGCTTAGATTTTATTTGTACTGGGTACTCATTGGCATTTCCGACCTGTGAAGATTCTTTCAAAAATGACAATTCCAGTGCTGGATAATTTTTATATACAACACCACCTCGTTTTTCGAAATCATCTGCGAATGAACCAGTAACTACTCCCCAATCCACTATGCCAGTATACGGTGACCAAATTGCCTTCAAACCCTGAAATAGCACAACAATGAAGCGCATATAACTAATTCTATACCAAAGTAAAAAAAAAAGAACAATTTTTGACTACAAAAAAATGAAAAAATTAGATCAATCACAAAAACTTACTTTAAATTCAGATGCATATTTTTTTATTTCAGATCCATCAATTAATTCAATCATTTTACAACCATTTTGCTGTGCTCTTTCATATAATGCCTAAATAAAACCTTTGTTCTAAGTCTGATATTCTCTTTTTTAATTCAACTTTTATCAAAAAATTGGTTTAAAGAAGAAAACGAATAAGGCTTAAATAATTGATATCTCCTTTCTTTATCCAGATAACTATTAAATAAATGATTGCATTACGTTATGCTTTAAGATTACATCAATGATTGCATCAAAATTATAAGAATAAAACCAACATCAAGGCGTTGTACTTCAACGGGTTCCACTGCTATAATCAATTTCCCAACTCGCTTATATGGCACTCGATTTTTGTCAAAAAAATTATATGCTAAATCTATTCCTGAAAATTATTTATTTACTAAATTATAAAAAGAAGATTTGTGGAACATTTAACAATCTAATTCCGTGCTTTATATAACGTTTTTCAAAAAAATTTCACTAATGAAAGGGCAAACCTCTTACACATAGTTTCGCTTTCAAGCTTCCAGGCATATAATAAATACCCGCATGCATAACACCGCTATTGTTACCACTTTGATGTGGTGCTGCAAATCTCGAGTAACAATGAGGAAAATTAATTTTCTGTGAATCTCAGAAGGCAATACAACTATTTGATAGCTCAATTTTCTTTTTCTTTATCGATATTTTTGAACGAATTTCGCTAAAAATTCAATGAAATTAGCTAAGTGAAAAACTTAATTTGTAATTCAAAAATTTTAATTTTAATCAAATAAAAAAGAAAATCAACACATAAAAAATGATAACTATTAATAAAGAAATCTATCGTAATTTATATTATAAATAAAAGAAATTTTACCTAAGCGATTTTCTTTTTCTAAAATCGCAATTTTGAGTTCAGGATTGCTGATTTTCAATTGCCTTGCCGTTGCACATCCGACAATTCCACCACCAACAACAATCACATCAAATTTCGGCGAATCACTGCAAAATAACTTGTTGAAAATCTAAAATGAAAAGTATTAAAATCATAAAATTCCGTGCATCGCTCAATATTTCGAGGATAATATGAATAAAACGCTAATTGCTAAAATATTATTCAAACGATGACAAATGCTATAGCCAAAATTATCTCGTCTTTCGATTAAAACTTCTCTTTTCCTGGGAAAAAAACGGGAACAATCAAATCCTTTATAAAAGCCATAAATAGCAACACTGCTGAATAGCCAATAAATAATTATTATAAAATTATATAATTACAGATAAATAATTAAATAATTATAATTAATTATATAAAATATAAACAATCTAATCTGCTACAAAATTATCGTTTAAGCCGCAAAAAAAAATAAACTAGAAATTTTTATCATTAGAATCACCAAAATCTGAGAATAATTGACTAAGAGAGTATCCAATATCTAACAAGAGGGTACACACCGAAATTCCTCTCATTCCCGAGCGACTTCCACGAAAACAGCAAATGATTTAGCAAACAGAATTCTGTTAAACGAATAACCAAATTTTGAACATAAAAGAAAATCTTTTAACCTTTTTCCTTTAAGAGGTGCATCCGAGATAAATCGCCGACAGTGATAACCACAGTTATAACGATAAATTGATGATAAGAATGGTTTTCTAAACATCTTATTGGCAAGCAAATAAATAATCAGATTCCTACGAACTGCAATAAAAATATTCGAATTCATGCGCTTTGTATAGAAATTAAAAATAAACGAGAAAGGAGGAACATAAAAGCAAAAACCTGGCACAATTACAAGGCCCAACAAATGTCCCTTCATGCAATACTTATTGCTCATTGTTGGCACCAGAGTGACACTTGAGCAGTATGAACTCCACTCTATCTTTTCATGAAGTGGCAAAAATTAAGCTAGCAGTTAATGATAGAACCTGAAAGGCATTCACTACCTTCTTGCACTACCACCCAAAATTACAAGGAACTGTTTGCTTCATAACGGTGCTACTGATACCACTACCAAATTAAATTTTATTTGTGTCGAATTATAAATCGGATTTGTAGCCGCAGAATAGTAATGGTAAATTATACGTGTTTTCCGTTGTTTAATCATGTTGGTGTTGGATTTTGAGGTTTTTTTTGGACATTTTTTTGGTGTTTATTTAAGAGGGGATTTGTTGATATGGAAGGTGATGCTTAATGATCATTGGTGTTTTCTACTGTAATTGGATTAAATGCAAAAATTTGATAGAAATAATAAGCTGCTTAACGTACTACATACTAGTATCGTCGTTGTCCATGTCGCAAACTACTAGCACGTTGCATATTAGCACGGTTGTCCAGTGGTTCACCCGAAAGTATTTTTATCATTTATTCATCTTTATCATTCATTTCATTAACATTTATCATATCAGTATATTCGTGATTTAAATCGTAGAAAATCAAAAGCTTATGAATAATTGAATAAATACGGTGCCAGTTAATTTCCAACTTTTTTTCATTCACCTTTTTATTTGTTTCATAATCTATAAGTATTGTATTTTTAGAATTTTATGTGGAATATTTAATTGTTAAAGTTCATTTAGAAGAGCAATGAGGCTTGTATTACGACACGTATTTGCGTTCATTTCCGTCGTGCTTGCCGTGTTTGCCCATGACAATTCTCCTCCGTTTCAACGCCAAGAAGCTCAAAAGCCACCCGAGGTCAATCTTTTATTTATTTGCTCGTGTGTTCCTTCCTTTATTGGTTATCTGTCATTTGCGAGTTTACATGGTTTGCCTTGAATCCATTAGACTTCACTATGGTCCTGTAATATTTTGCCTCTCTTCTAAAAATTGCTTGGAAAGTCTCAGTCCGTCTTGTTGAAACCCTTTGATATCCTTCAAAATCCATCATGTTTTGTAAATACTTCTTGGACACCCATAAGTATGTGGTAAGCCTTTACTGTTTCTTCACAAATTTTCTTCTCTCGGGATAAGAGCCTTGTATTTCAAACAATCATATTCATTATCCATTGCATTATCATGCTTCCTTTTTTGGCACTCGTAGTTTTTACTGTTTTATCATAATCTATTCTGGAATCTCTATTTGTAATCTGTAACCTTATCTAGATGCACTTACCTCCTAAGAACCATTGTCCTTCTTTAATGCCCCGTGAAACCTCTTAGTACTAAGTGGTACTGGCGATTCACATGTATTTCTATTGCCAAGTGATTCCTTGGCAAAAATTAGTCTAGCTCGACTGATAAGTGAAACAAAAAATAGTGCTTTAATAAGCACTTTTAAAAAAAAAACTTCTTAGTACGCTTTTACTGCGTTCTGTGTTTGAAAAATTCTTAAGAATAACGGTATCGAAGGAACATACAAGGAATTGAAACTAACCGAAATCTTAAAACGTGTTATCTTAATATTAGAACTTTTGATATTTTGCGATACATTCTCAAAAAAACCTTCGAAACCTCATTAAATATCTCCTCAGCACTCCAAAAACTCCCTGTGAGCTTGCGCATGGTCCATTAAGACTATTTTAAATCCTTTCTTTAACTTTAGCCATCTCGGATTCTGTTCTATAGTCCTTTCACCTTCACCTTCATTTCCTCACACCATTCACCTTCATTTCCGTAGGTTACCATTAAAACCTCGCAATACCTGAGTTATAAACCGTTGAAATGGGATAACATGGCAACCTAACAGACCCAAGAGAAATATTAAGGGAGGATTTTGGAGATTTGGCATATATAAAACTCGTGTAAAAGGGTTGCATGATATATTGTTAAGAAACATCAGAGGAATATAATGAATTTTAAGGTAATTTCCAAATGTAACTTGGTTTTGAAGACTTCTGCTCTTCCGCATAACAGGTCTTTTTTTGGCCAAGAATTAATTATTAATCGATCGAGCATTTATTTTACTCTATCTAGGTGCATCATCAAAATATTCACCAACAGCATGCGCCATCTCAGCCTAATACACCTCCATCAGGTGCACAACAGTTTGGTGGTCAGGAAGCACATAATGCTGAGTAAGACACTTTGCATAGTGTATTGCATGTTATTTTTTATCTGGTAGTTTCATTTTCATTTTATTTAATAGTTTTTTTAAGGCATATCAAAGAACATTTGGAAGGTAAGGTTGATCCAACTGTAAATATGACTCAAGAGCAACTTCAATTTCATTATTTTAAAATACATGACCGTGATAATGATGGTTGTTTGGATGGAACTGAATTAATCAAAGCTATTACACATTTCCACCTCGGTTATCTATGTTTTTTTTTTATAAAATGAGGATATGCTCATTTAGAATCTTAAATCATGAAATGCTCACGTGAAATAGACGAACTTTCTCGTCTTACGGTTTTTTTTCACCTTTGTTTATCTGCGGCACATTTGGGCAAATTTGATTTTACAAATGTGACGTAACGCTATTGTGAATTACAAAGTGTTTTGCTTATGAAAAAGTTTTGTTAAGTTGTAATTTGATGTAATTTGTTATTCCTCATTATTCCTCAATATTCGAGATTTTAGAGAATCCTGATCCTCTTCACAAACACGATAACCAGCCACCACCTTTGCCGAGTGAAGTGCAATTAGAAGAAATGATTGATCAAATATTGGGTCATGATGATTACGATGGTAATGGTTGTATTAGTTATCCGGAATTTTCGAAAGCACAAAAGGATCGAGAGATGCAAGCACGCCAGCATCAATCATCTTCATCACAGCCACGTTAAGATGGTAAGTTGCAGCTTTATGCAAATTTTTGGAAGATTTTGAAGTGGTATTTTTATTCTTGAAAATTCGCAAAAAAATTTTAAATAATAATTAAATTTAAAGTTAAATTAAATTTTAAATAATAATTATTAACTTTATAGATAATCAAAATTAATGAATTTTATAGGCTTATGTTTAGTGGTTCACCAATAAATTTTGTTTGAGATCGATATTATTCATCGATTTTACCATTGTCAGTGCTGCTGGTCTGTGTTTTTTAACTCTTTTTGGAGATTCAATTATTTCATCGCATACTGAGAGAATCGTGCCCGGTATTTATCTAATTCAGTTATGATGGTGCTTGTTTTGTTGATTTCTGTTTGTTTTTAAATATATATGAAAGTTTTATTCTTTAAAACATATTTATTTTGCTTTGTTTTTCATTTATATTTGTTCATTTTGACAAGTTTGTTTTTTCTTAGAATAAATTTTTTTTATTTAATTCATTCGCTGCGAGAGGATCAATCAAAAATATTCATTATGATTCTTTATGGTTAAAATTTATTTTATTGTAAACTTACTCTAGAATTTTTGAGGATATCAAATTGATGACTTTAAGGCATGTTTTATTTTATTATAGCATTTAATTTCAATATTTTCAAAACAGCATTGGACATATTACTTTTTAAATTGAATTTTCTTTCTCTCTAATAATGGCCAGTTTTGATTAGGCCGGCTCTATTTGAAATCGATGAATATTAGAATGGGGCACTTTAGGCAAAGAATCACCTGATGGAAATGCAGGTGGGTTCTTATCACATGGTTTTTGAATGGAGATTTACTCTTATCAGAGACAGGAGTTGAAGCATGTTTAAGGTGATAATCTAAATTCGGCCATAGTGAATCCTTCTGCATTGAGAATTTATTGCGCAATTCTTTTCCATTCATATTCTATATCCATAAGTTATCCATAGCCTCAGTGATTAAGCTGAATAATAGTTTAAAGTATTTAGTAATAATATTAATATTAAAATGCGATTGATGCTGTGAACTCTCGATTCCCTCTCTCGAAATTTATCAAAAAATTTCGCCGAACTACGGTATAGATTTGACATTTGCTGGTGTTGCACATTTTTGCTCTCCTTTTTTTCCTACATGTTATATCCGAATGGCAAGCGGTTGAATATTGGAGAAAATATTCTTTATCACATTTGGAATAAAGTTTATCAGAGTAGTACTTTTCACAAATACAGATGAATGAAGCAAACTAGAGAAGCAAGCCCCATTCGAAACTTCATCACAACTATGGTACATTACGAGCTTTGATTGGATGTTGATTAAATGTTGAGCAAATGGGATATGGATGGGTGGTATTAAAGGACTATAAAGGGATCCAAGATGGGCAAAGAGGTTCAAAATAATGTCTCTGGTGGATTAGGCAAAAGAATACGGCGATGTTTTGAGGATTCTGACTAAATTTGCGGAATGTTCCACAAAACATGAAGAGTTATTGGAAATATTAAAGATTTCAACATGGCTGAGATTTCGCAAACAGCTGAGCGCTATTAATATATTGCAACAAAAGGCCATAACTGATTTTATTTGGGTACCATAGCGAGGTGAGGACGATCTCTAAAGAAGACTGAAGAGTCCGTTGAACTTTACTCGCATTTCTTTCTCCCTTTATGCACGAACATTTCTATTTTCATACCAGTGCGTCTTTTCTTAAATCAATGTTTATCATAGCTATATATGTAGCTCAATTGGCCATTCAGGCCATTTATTTCCAGGTCCCATAGTGCAGGAGATTTCAGGAGATTTCGCGAGCTTTGATCACGCAGTCATCGATATTCTCATAGCAAATTTTTCATGTAAACAGTGTGAATGCTTTCAAGAAGGATTATCCCTTCTTCATTTCTAAATTCAAATCCAAGACTCGGAAAATCCGTAAAATTTGCCTTTTTTCAAGGCATTAGAAATAGGATATTTCTCCGAATTTCTTAAAGAATCAACAATCGATAGATGAAATGAATTAATTGTGCATTAACGAATTAGACTGAGCAGATAACTACTAATTTCACCATACAATAGACCATATTCATGCAAGTACCATACATGTTTCAAAGTTTCAATTTCTTAGAGGTACGAACTTTATTATTAAACCAACTATCTAAAAATCCGAACGTGGTCGAATTTGCCTATACTTTGCAACATTACGTGTACATTTTTAATAGCAATTTTTATTAAGTTATTTAAAATAGGCGGTGGGTTGACGACGAAATATTTTTTTTCAGGAATTATTTTTGCCATAAATTTTGTCGATAATTTTATTAATATTTTTTATATTTGCAGTAATTTTTTGGTTATTTTTTATTTTTTGTTTTATAAATTCATAAAACAATAGATTTTTAATAAAAAAAATAGCAGTGAAGAATTAAGGAACAATTAAGAACGTAGAAAATATTAAAAAATATTAAAAAAGGCGATGTTTTTTGAATAATTTTATCGATAATTGAAGTGAATTCCACGCTCATTTTGCTTTATTTTGAGGTGCCACGAATGCACCATTCTTTCAAAATTGTTAAATTGGCGAAGCTGACGATTTATCTGCAATTTTATCGTCCCAGTTTTATCGTTGCGTTGCAGATTTGTAGGGCTTAAGAAGCCAGCGGAGCGAGAAACAAAAAAACATCGCAATAATTTACTGTTTCTCAAGAAAGCATCGTTAGTAATTCGATAAGTATTTGGCGCCTCTTTAAGTTAATAGTTTTCTTTGGCGGTGAAAGATCGAATCATGTATCGCATCGACTAACTATTATAGATTCGCTTCCTCTGACGTGTCATTAAACATGAAATTCGAAGTCGGTCGGCCTACGCATTTGTCTCTCCCCAGCGGACCTTCTGGCGAAACGATTTGTCTTATCGCAGTTACCATTTTCGCTATTCGAATAAAAAATTACAATTGCAGTCCGAGCCACTATCGACTAGGCTAAGCCAACAGGCCTTTGAGCTTAAACGAAACAAGGAAAAAATATTTTATGGATTAGACGGCGAAATAATTAATTGTATTAAATTTTATGTGCATTAATTTATATTAATTTTTAATATAATAATCAATAATTATTGCTTGTTAGATTAGATGTCGCTGAATATCAAAGGAAGGTTGGTATTTGTGGCTGTTTTACTGGCCGTTTGGCGTTTCTTGTTAATTTGTTATTGTTTTTGAATTCTTTTTTGGTTTTTTATTACATTGCCGGCGATCCATTTTCATTATTTGGCATTGGCCTTATCACTTATTGATTCTTGTTGATTTTGATAAGCTGTTTTTTTAATTCGGATCAGTTTTTGATTTTTATGATTCTTTGATGAATTTGCAGTTCGCCTACGTTAGAATTCATAGCTATTTCATATTTATCATATCATATTTCGCAAATTTATCTGAGATTTCTGATTAAATTTGTTTTTTTTGATATATGAGTAAAACGATTTTTATTCTTATTGAAATTTTCACAATTAATGTTTCAAAAATTTCCATTCTGAGAATTTCTAGTGCATTAATGCATTATTTATGTGTTCCATGGAAACAAATTTTTTAGAAATTTGTAAATAGAAAAGACATTTAAAAATTTTTCTAGTTTCTATCCATTCATTGTGTGAAAACATTAAAATTTATTGGTATGTCTCCCTCGATTGGCTGTATTTTTTTCGCTTTCAACTTAAATATAAGTTCCGTTAAAAGCTAAATTTTATTATTAATTTATTATATTCGGTACTTTTTCTTATATTAAATACAGCCAATCATAATAAAGGTAAAATGGTTTTTCTTTACACTGTGATTTATTGTTTGTAAAATTTTTTGGTTATATCTGTTTTATGCGTTTATTCGCACATTTTTTGGGAGCAAAAATATAGTTTTTATGAAAATTTATGAGATTTTACTGGCTTTCGTGAGATTCTCAACCGATTCTCAAAGTTAATTTTTATCCGATTTTCGAAGAGTTTTACGACACAAAATCGATCACAGAAACATTGCAATATTATTTTTTCAGGTCGAGAGAAATTATCGTACTCTAGAATTCGTGCTTTGCTATATGGACGAATGACTATTTTTATGATTTATGGTTTAAAAATATTGATATTTATGAGTAAAATAATTTAATTTGCTATTCTTAAGGCAATCGATTAGAAGAAATCATTAAATGATCGTCGTCGTCTATGTCTGAATTTCCTCGGACAGTTACAAGAAGACGATATACTGGTGCAAAACAGAACGATTTTGTTCAAGTAGAACCCATTGTCGACGGCACAAAACAATTTTACGGGCATCTCTCATCATTTTCCAATTTTTCAGCTTCGATTTGGCAATCTGCGCAGGTTTTTTATTTCTTTTATGGAAAAGTATTTTCTTAAAGAAGTAATTAGAATTAGATTTTTCAGATTTTTTTGGTAAAAAAAATTTTATTGAAACTTAATAGTAATAGTTTTAGTAAGCGAAACATTAGCAGTTATTCTTTTGCAGTTTTTTTTTGATGATTTGATTTAAATGGTGACTAATACTTAAAATTTTTGTAGTCAAAGTCGTATATATTCGTACATTTTATAGCAAAAATTTTCATCAGTTTCGTCTGAACCTTTGATTTGCTACGAAGAATTGCTTAATCCGACCAGTGTTAAATCAATTTGGCCTTATTACGAAACTCAACCAATTATCGATATGCCTACTCGAGACCGTACTGCTGAATTTCGGACAACAGCAAAATCCTATCAAGTGAGAGTTTTTCATGGAATCGCTTTGATCGCTTTTGTGGATGTTTAATGAATTTTAATGAAATTATTAATAATAATTATAAAATAATTATAAAATAAATAATTATAAAATAATTATAATTTCAAATTTTTTTTATATTAGTTTATAATTAATCACATCATTTAGTATCTGATTTAATTTAAAGTTCCTCTATATTCATCTGCGTTGTATTCGGAATTAATTTGGTTAAAAGTTTTCACATTCGTAGCTTCCTTTTAGCAATATTCTTTCACCATTTCCGGTTTGGTTGATTCTACTAAAATGAGATTCTCACTGGAGAGTTATTTTGAGAGAAAAAAGCAGATATGGCTCAGGCTTCAATGGTTCTTCAAAGGAAGGGAAAACTTGGCCGTCCTTTGTTTTAATTAGTAATAAAGTCAGGTTCATTTTAGATGAAATTCCATGCTAGCGGACAAACCAGTGTGCCCAAAGAGCACAACCACCTCGTGAAGCAATCATTGGTGTTTAATCAGTTAGCGAAGTAAGTTTTCAGTTTATTTACCGTTCATTTCGTTGAATTTGGCCTTTAAAGACTATGTTTGAAGAAGTATGATTGCACACAGTAGTTAATCTGATAATGCTTTGTATCTGTATATGGTTATTTTTTTTTTCTCCTAAGATTATCTTCCTTTCAGTTGATTTGGTTCGAAAAGAAAAATCTTAAAGTATTGAAAAATATTATAGAAATAAAAATATCTCATTGAACAAATTGCTTTAAGGCGAATCGGGCGTGATCTTAGTTTAACGTGTGCAAAAATGGAAAAATTAACAGAGTTAGCCAAAAAGAAGACCTTATTTGATGATAGGTTCAGTGAAATTGAAGAACTTTCGAGGATAATTGAACAGGTTAAATTTGGCACATTTTTCATCTTTTTTCACTTTATGTTATCAAAATTGCAATCCCCTTATTTAGGTTAAATTTTTTCATTCAAGGTAATGTCTATAGGTAAAGTGGTGATGGGAATTTAATGCAGTTTAGCTTGGCATTGATTACTGTTTGATTAAAACTGCATCTAACCCTTTATCATATCATATTATATACATGAATTATTTTGATCAATTTTGACTATGAGTGTAGTGCATCAATATTTTTGATCATCGCGGAAACGTTCAGTGAAATACTTTAGGACCTTATAGCTATATGGAATTAATATACATAATTTACATATTTATTAATTTTTGCAGCTGAAGGTATGAAGAATGCGAGGAATTTTTTTTTTTTTTAATTACGGAAATTATTGAAGTAATTCATATATAAAAAATATCAAATTATTTCTATTCCCACAAAAAATTCTCCATGCAAAACAGCGTGCGCATTTCGCATTAATTTTTTATGTCGTGAGAAATTCTCTTGATCTCTAGATAATTTCGCTATCTTTTTTAAGATTCATAAAATTCACATTCTTTCATTCAATTTACAAAAAAAGAAGGTAAAATCGAATATGGTCTTAAATTAGAATTTGTTTAATGTGAGACTTTTTCAAGTTATAATTTAGTTAAAGAAAGCTAGAATTAAACTAGAATTTGCTTTAAAATTTTTGTTCCATTTCTATTCAAATTATGCCATACTTCACTGGTAAAAATCTTCTAAATAGCTTGTTGGCGCTACAGATGGGTGGCATCTTTTTTCAACATTTTTTTTCGATATACAACTTTAACTATCCAACAGTCCAAATTCATATTATAATCTTTCACTAGTCCCACTCACTTTCCTATCTTATAACTTTCCACATTAAAAATGCACTGACATCGTAATGAAAATTAGTCAGATTTGAAATAAGGATAAACACTGACAGTTTGATAAGGCTTTAAGGAGTTGCAACTGGTTTGATTGGCAAGGGATTTGAGACGGTGTTACCAATAGCTTGAGCAAAAGAGCATTTTGAGAAAGAAAACAGAATATTGAGAAATGGCAGGGTTTCAATGGATGCCAAACGAGTAAAATATGATTTAAAAAGGTTATTAAAAGATCTTAAATATCTTGGTCAATTTAAAAGGATTTTTTACTCATTATAGATTCAGTTTTGCATTAAGCTGCGTTTTTTTCGCACTTAGTTTATTTTTTTTCAAGTAAATAAATTTGATATCTCATTGTTTATGGTACTATCCATTATCTATTAAATTATTAAATTTCTCAGTTTTGATCACTGATCGTAATGAAAATTAGTCAGATTTGAAACAAGGATAAACAACGAATCGCCCATTATTTTTAGTGATTTTGCCTAAGTGTATCAAAAATTGAAGAAGATTGCTGGTAATTCAGTGGTTGCATCTTTATCTTAACATTCCTAAAATTTCCTGTTTTTATTCAAAAACCAGAACAAAAATATTGGCGAATTTCGTTTGCAGGAGAAATTTGTTAATATCGTCTTTGCATGCTGTTAAATTCTTATTTTGGGAATTTCGTGATCAAACTAAGAAACAGTTCTATTTTAATTTCACAAGATTTTAACCTAAGCTTGAATAATTGAAATCGGATTGTGGTGCACTATTCATCTTCAAATCCAACCTTTTCGCATAGTTTCATTAAGGGTTGTTATCTTCGCCGAAAATGCTATAGATGAAAATTCCATCGCTGCATTAGTGAGTAGAAATGTACTAGGTTAACATATATATTTATTTAGCATGAAAAATTTTATCACTGTATTCCTATTGTAGAGGTCTAATATCTTGGTAGTGCGAAAAGTAATTTTTTTGGTTTAGGATATCACCGGTTTAAACAAACAAATTGCGTCATTACAAGAACACTGCAAAAGTTATGGTTCGCGGAAAGATCAGGGTCATGGGCACTCGCAGTTAGTGATTGTTGGGCTTCGGTCAAAGCTGGCTTCAATGAGCAAAGATTTTCAAAATTTATTAGAATTGCGAAAGGAAGTTAGTTTCTTTTTTGTTCAAATTTTTTCATAGATTTAAAGTATTATTTGTGTAGCATTTTTTTTTTGTTTATATGGGGATAATTTCCTTTTTCAGATTAAGATAATACATATTTTAAAAAGGAAAAATATTTCGACTATTTTTAAACTCTATTTTTTCAGAATTTGAAACATCAAAAATCTCAAAGGGAGAAATTCAGTAAATGTCACCCGGTGCCTTCAACGCTTCCACCATCAGTAAGCCTAGGAAATAGTAAGAAATTTTTTTTTTTGAGTTAGATTTCTTGGTTTTTTTTCGGGGTCGATTTATTTAATTCATATTATAAAAAATTTCATAATTTTCTAATTGCAGTGGGTTCCGTTCTTCTTCAAGATGATATGAATGCTTCCTCATGTGTTGCTTTGGACATGAATCAGCTGGAGCAACATCGTATGCAACAACAGGTTAAATTTACTTGTTCTGTACTATTTTATCTGAATGTACTTCCTTGAACCATGGGAATTCTTTAGTTCATTCTTTGTTTAATATTATCTATTTTAAATTATAATTTTGCCATTCTTCTTTACAGGTTTCTTTAATCGATGAACAAGATTCTTATGCTCAAGCACGTGCTAGTACGATGGAAAGTATCGAAAGGAGCATATCCGAATTGGGACAAATTTTCCGTCAAGTACTTTCCTTTTTGTTGTCAAATGAGTTAGAAATCGAATGATGTTTTTTATTATTTTTTATTAATATTGATATTATAGTTGGCTTCGTTGGTATCGGAACAGGGTGAAATGATAACACGAATTGATTCGAATGTGGATGAGACTGCTGTAAATGTTGAAGCTGCTCATCACGAACTTGTCAAATATTTTCACAACATATCTCAGAATCGTTGGTTGATGATTAAGGTTTTTGGTGTTTTGATAGCATTCTTCATCTTTTTTGTTGTTTTCTTTACTTAATTTGTTTGGAAATATTTATGCAAAAAGGTTTTCTTAATCAGGCAGGTATCCTTTCTGTTCCTTATAATTTTTTCTATGGATATTTGTTTAAAATTGAATGCTTTTACTTTCACTGGCTTTCATTGGTTATCAATACGTCCTGCAAATTTTTGAGTTCGTTTAATAATCAATTCGTTTCACATATTTTCCATATTTCCAGTGGTTTATTTCTTCAAGGTCAATTTCTTTTTTTCTTCTGTTCGAGGTTGATTGCATTCACATATTTGGTTTCAGAGGTCTTATTCTTTTGTGATTTGTTTTTTTTTTCACTCTATAAACATTTTAATGTTTTATTTCTCGGCATGTAATTTAATCATTATTTATTAAAAATATATTGAATGAAACTAATGAAAATGCAGTCTGATAATAATCATGAGTGCAAAAGTTTTAGTGAAAATATTATCAGAAAAAAATTTAGTTGTGGCAGAATTTTAGAAAATTTTAAAAGTGAGAGTAAGCAAATGAAAAAATTGAAATAGGCCATTAGATTGCAATATATCTTTATATTGTACCATTTGTAACTTGGTAATTGCAGAAGTTTTTTGTTTCATTTTCTGTTATTATTGTTATTATTGAACTATTCGTGAAAATTTCTATTTGCTAAACATTTTTTTTGAAGTCGGAATAACAAATGTGATAATGGTGATTGTCGTAGAAAGTACAGAAAAAAAAAAAATTATGTAAAGCTAAAGTAAATGTATAATTCCTATTAAAATAAATTTATTTTTAGGTGCTTTGGTACTTTTGATAAGGTACTCTTGCCGTTTTATTTTTACAATGATTCCGACTGTTGAGATTGTCTTCATTGCTTTTCTGTAATCCACTTTTAAAGTTTCTTTTGCCTCTTAAATGTTTGAGTGTACTCAATTTTCTTTTAAAACTAGGTAAAAGGTAGAAGAAATCTGATCTCTGTAATACTGGTGATAATTTTTCATATTTTTTAAATGCTAATAAAAGATTTAAGAGTCGAGATGGCTCGGATTTCGACGTTGATGATAGCTGCGTCTACTCTTATATTAACTGCAGCAACAATTGGAAATGCTTTTCATCAGAAGAAGCAGTTTTATCCATCTGTTGTATATATTACTAAAAGCAGTCCATCAATGGCGGTAATTTAAAATTTTTTATGGTATATCTAGATATGGAGGAACTTATTGTTTCATTTCTGATTCAAGGGGCTTAGTTTGGTTGAATCAGGTAAAAAAAAAGCATTTAATTCTCAATCTTGTGGCACGTCATTTTTGTATTAATAAACAATTATTTTTAATAGTCATTAATAGTCATTTAATAGTCAGTATTATTAATAGTCATTTTTGTATTGTATTTTGTATTAACACAACTGATAAAGAATTGTAGTTAACAAATGATAACAAATGTTCCACCGATTTTAGGTGATATATGTACAGGCCTTGGTTATTGCTTATATGATTTTTCAAATATTTCGGAAGATATTTTTTGGGCAGTTGCGAGCAACTGAAATCGAGGTTTGATAAATCATTTTCGGTTATTAAAAGTCATGTTTTTTTGTTTTTTACTTTTAATTACTCTGTTTAAATCCATTTTATTAGCATCTATCAGAAAGAGCTTGGCATGCTATAGCAGAAACTTGCCTCGCATTCACCGTATTTCGAGATGATTTTTCGCCGAAGTTTGTTGTGCAATTTGTTTTTCTCCTATTTGTGAAATCATTTCACTGGCTTACCGAAGATCGAGTGGATTACATGGAAAGGACTCCTTTAATTACCGTGCTTTTCCACTGTCGAATGATTTGTTAGTTTTATGTTTTAGCGAGTTTTAGTGAGTTTTTTGCGTGCTTATTTTCGTCATTTTTTAGTAGCTTAATGTGATTATTCATTCTGTGAGTCTTTTCTAGTTTTTAATTATTTCTGTACTGAAAAGTTATCATGGAGCGCTACTTTTATAATAACTTTATTGCAGCATTGTTAGCATTTTTAAGTGGTTTGGATAGTTATTTCGTTTCTCACGCTTATTTTACGACTCTGCTAAAGGGTGCTTCAGTTCAAATAGTTTTTGGCTTCGAGGTTAGATATTTTTTCTATTTCTTTATATCAGGTCAGGCTTTAACTCACTGTAGATCCGTTGTTTTTATATATTGTCGACATAATTAAAATTATAATTAATTCTAATATATATCTTTGTGATGGCTATAAATAGATTATATGTAAATAGAAGATTCTACTTATTATTTCATTAATCTTCTTCTGAACTGAAACCAAACTGATTTTGCAATTTTTTCAATTGCATACTTTTAACTTATTGATGTGATGGAAATCTCGATAATGAGATATTTCATCTGGGGATTTTTGTGAAAATTTATAAAATATTTTATGCAGAATTTAAACATGGTACGATATTATTTTTACAGGTTTAATTTGGCGATTAAATTTGTAGAGTGTTAACGAGAACGTCTTCAATATCCTTCCATAAAATATAAATCTAAACTGTATATTTAGAATTTGAAAATTAGAAAAATCGAATAAAATTATATTTGTGCCTAAAAAGTTTTTTTTGCTTTTATTAATTCAGAGTCTAGAGGCATATGTTGCAAATTTATTTTTAATATAAGTATAAATATAATATAATAAAACTAACGGAAAACTATGTTCTTATGAAATGGAATAAAATGGAACTGTGCGAGTGCGACATAAATATCGAAATAGGTTTCGAAAAATACTGATCTCCAGGCTTTTCAGTATGCAATTTTGATGACAGTTACGCTACATGTTGGTATCAAATATCTTCTTCATTTACATGATTTGCGTAATGTACATCCTTGGGAGAACAAAGCAATGTATTTGCTTTTGTCAGAACTTGTGATAAGTAAGCCTAAACTGTTTGATTATATCTTCATTGTTTTTCTTTTCGAAACTAAATGGGCGCAGTATTTTTTCCTTTTTTTTTTAGCTAGTCAATTTACAGATTTGCTTCGTTGTATTCTCTATATAGTCTTTGTATCAGTGATGATAAGACTGCATACATTTCCGCTGTTTTCAATCCGTCCTTTATATTTGACTATTCGTGCTTTCTACAAAGCTTTTAATGATGTAATTCTTTCAAGACGAGCTATCAATGCAATGAATAACTTGTTTCCACTGGCTACAGAACAAGAACTTTCTCAAGGTAAGAAGGATAAATTATTATCGAATACAAAAAGCTCTGTGAAATTCAGGAAAAATATGTGCATGCTACCTAACAACAGTATAGTTTTATATGACTGGCAAGTCTGTTGTTTTTTTTCAAGCTGTCATATTTTAGCTGCGATTTATGAAAATTTGTATATATTGACTTCAATTAAGGTGACAATACATGCATAATATGCCGCGAAGAAATGTTTCCCGGTACTGGTGTCAAAAAATTACCTTGTAATCACATATTTCATTCACATTGTTTACGGTCCTGGTTTCAGCGTCAACAGAGCTGTCCTACTTGTCGCACTGATATACTCGGTTTTTTTCCCTTTTTTTAAAACTTGTGATTGCGTTAAAGATGCCCACTTAGTTGCACGCACACTTAGTAGTCTAATCTTTTTTTAAATTTGATACTACTAAACCCATCATTCATCGGAATGTCTAATGAATTGCAATGTCCAATTATTTCCTTTAAAATATTTGATATTTCACTATACAGATTTAAGTGGGAAACGAATTACGTTATCTTGCAAATAGTTTAGGTGGAATATTCATCGATTTGAAATGTGAAATGTTATGTACATACGTGTATATACATTATATATATAAATTCATCGTGATTTCATGATAAAAACTGCCAATAAAACATATTTATAATTATTTGATAATGAATTTTAAGTGCATATGTTTCAGCTCCACGTCGAATACCAACCACAGCACCGGGTCCAGCACCAGTTCCCGTTGCAGCAGCAGCTGCTCCTGGTGGAGAAGCTGCTCAGGGGGATGCGCGACCACGAAATGGAGGGGAAGTACCGCCACCGAATATGTTTCCATTTATTGCGCATCACTTTGGGTTTCCACCTCCCTCTCAGGCACAAAACAACAATTCAGAGCGAAATATGGGTGCCACCACAAGTCATATTAATCCTCATATTCTACCAACTTCACATTGTTTTCCCGGATTTTCTTTTATGGTTATTCTTTTAATTCTTTTTTTGAGATTGGAGAAATGAAAGGAATATGTGAAATCATTACTCATTTGTCATCTATTATTTCTCGGATTTCAAATTTATATTTTATATTTGGTTTTTTTTATCATTAGGTCATCATTTTATTGGTTTCTGAATTCAATTGATGAATAATTTCGCATCTTTTTTTTAGTCTCCACCGCCGTTAATGCCTCCTTTTCCTTTCCCTGCACCGCCTGTTTTTACTAGTCTCACTGACTCAGAAGTTGCCGCTATGGAAGGAAGTGAACGTAAGGCCATTGAGACGAGAATTCATTATTTGCGTAATATAAACATACTGCTTGATGCAGCTACCATTCAGCTTCAACAATATATGAGCGTAGTACCTATGAATATGTATCAGCCAATTATGATATCATCATCGACCCAGGTTGGGGGCAGCGAACCTGATTTTACTGGATCCCCGTCATCAGTAAGTCCCGATTCACCAGTCCAAAATATACAAAGTGTACAAAATATACAGTCGAATACCGAACAAAATCCTTCCTTCCCATCTACATCGCAAAGCAGCGAAACATCAAGCAATAATCGCGATTCACAAAATTTACAAGAAATTAGACGAAGACGACTTGAAAGATTTGGTTCAGAAGTAAGAAATCATTCTTGTGAAAGTTCCTAACTCTCATATATTTTATATTTCGGTATTTTATGCTCCAGCATTCTCAGAAAAGGCCCATCGTCGAATGATATTTCATTTTTTTAATGGACTTTATAGAGTGATATTTTTTTATGGATTTTATTTATATCTTATTATACTTTTTGATTTATTATTTTTTATTACATTTTTATTTTATTTTTTCCTTTTTTTTGTTTTCTTTTATATTTTACGTTTACATTTGTAAAATAAAAATATTGTGAAGAATATTGTGCACACCTCCACTTCATTTTTCCAGTCTTGTGAAAGTTCTTAACTTTTTTTAACTTTCACACATATGTCGACATTTTATATTTGAGCATTTTTAGAGAAGAAGACCCTTCATCAAGTAATATTCCATTTTTTAAATGGTTTTTATAAAGTGGTATTTTTTAAATAGATTTTATTTATTTTTTATATATTCGTGTTTTGATTTATTACATTTTTGCATTCTTTTATTATTTTCTTTTCCTTTTTCTTATATTTTAGGGAAAATGTTAAAAAAAAGTTTACTAAAAATTTTTTTCATTGAAAAAAATTTGCAATCACATTCTAAATTTCTTGAAATTTTTTACTGCTTTACTGGGTTTTATACTGTGTGATTAAATGAAAATATATTCATATATTGTTTTATATTATTTTTATATTGTTTTTAGATATTTGCGTTGATCTTTAAATTGTTATTTTGCTATTTGCAAGTGGTTCGAGTCAAATGAAGAATTGGGATTGGTTTTTTTTCATTAATATCTTTACTAAATCTTTAATGAGACTAATCTTAAAATTCTGTACTAAACTCCGAATTACTTTAATTGTTACGACAATTTCTTGGCCTTATTTTTTTTCGAAATAAAATATACGCTGCATTGCTCGTATATTCGTTAATTCGGGGAATAAAGGGCATTTTTGTTGTATATTTTGGAAATTTATATTTTGGAAATTCGGGAGGAAAGAAGAAATCAAATAATCAAGGGAAGGTACTGAGAGGAGAGATTGGCGATATTGAGGAAACAAAATAAGAAATTGGTGGTGTTAAGAGGAATCATGCGGAGGATTTAGATAAAAGAAGTATAACGAAGTTCGAAAATTACGGAGTTGGAGGATCTCAAGGAAGGTAGCGGAGTTTAAGGGCTTTTTCATTGTGATTTATTTTTTTATACTGTACGGTTTTCGCATTTAAGAATTTTCACGCTTTCCTTATTATTTAATGAATTAAACAAATAATTATTTAAAATGTTTTTCCTCTTTTATCGTTTTTTTATTACGGATGAGATCATATACAACAAGTCAGTCGATGCCATTTGAAGGAAGTTTGCTTTTTGCTGCAAATGAATTCTTGCCAGTGTGCGCGTTCTTCCTCACCGACAACATTACTGCCGAATTCCAACGTTCCCAAATTTATACGTCTTTTCAATAAACCAATTGTCGTACAAACACGAATTGAAATTGATAGTGAGTCAATGTCTTGCTTAGATACCTATAAGTCTGTTTTATCTCTAAAAAGAATGAGATGTGCTATGTTAAAACCAAGCGAAAAGTAAGTAGAAAGATTACCGCAAAGCTGAATTTAGCATCGAAAACTGGCTCACAACATGCTTTTATCGTATGGCTTTGTTGTACCATCGTTTGTGCGTCGTATGCGGTTTTAACGTACAATTTGACGAATGTATCTGAAATTTACCATCAATAATTATTATTTGTTCGTTATCAATGTTAATCAGTTTTACTTGTCCGTTAGTAGATATTCGGAATTTTAGCAAAGATTTGTCATAAAATAATTCGAAATTTTGATAGATTACCAACCGACATATTTTGATTTATAATTCAGATTTCCTCCTTTATCAATTAAAATGAACATCTTCCCATCGGAATACGAAAATGATAACAATAATTTCGGGTTGTTATAGTTATTTTCGTTGTTATTATCATTGGAAGATTGTGTTTTATACGATTTCTTCACTTGTTTTTGCTTATGGGATGGCGTAGATAATGCTGAATGCACCTAAATAAAAATTATAAGACTCGCATTTTGTGGGTCGAGTGTGGTTTATTATTGAATCGTTTTCTTCCTTAAAGGACTCGTCATTTATCGTTTTGCTGAGTCCGTTAACTATTACTATGCTATTAGTTGGAGATTTAGGTGCAAGTGGATCGCTAGTATGGTCCACAATGTCACTTTCGACATGGCAAGATCTGGCGAGCTAAATGCTCATTTCCAAATCTGATCTATGAAAACAAGTTAAGATAATAGGAAAGAGTATATTTCGATCTAACGACGAGTCTGTGATGAGAGTTTCCATGGCTCTATGGCTTTCGAACCATTAAAAACTCCTACATTAGCGTCCGTTTTTGAATGAAGTAGAAGTGTGTGATGGGTTAAACATCCATTTTTTGCATCAATAAGACTGTTTCTTAACAAAGTTTCGCCAATAAATTGGTTGCGACCTGTTAATCGACGTTTGTAAATTCGAAAGCGCACGAATGTTTTCGACAAATCCTCTGCAATTTTTTTTCAAAAAATTAGCTGGAAGCATGCTTGCTGAATCAATCCTAACGTATTATTATCAGTGAATGAATTTGGTTTTTCTGATTGAATTGCTTCAGTTTCGAGGATTTTTAATGCACGCTAAATTCACCATCTTTAATTAAATGAGATTTAGTGAATGATTTCCAATTTCTTCTTTGTTTCATGACCACATCGCTCAAGATCTCTCAATGGAATGAGTACCACGACTCGCTAAACGATTCAGCTATATGGAAGAAAGTCTGATATATGAAAAAAGCTTAGATTATAGAAAAGAGTATATTTCGATCTAACGACGAGTTTATGAATTTTTGGCGAGCTTAATCAAAAGCAAGGCGAAAATTCGAGTTTAGCTTAACAAATCTATCTCATTTTCGATGTCAGATAATCTTCGTAGGATTAACTAATTTTCTTTGTCATTTATTCATCCGTATACCCTCATTCTATTTGCGGATTGATTTAGAATTAAGAAGATTTCTTAAATATTTTTTTTGCTACAGTAATGCAGTAAGATTAAAAGAGCTATACGCAGTGAATTGATAGCATCAGCCACGACCACATATGGTATCATGAACAGATTTTTGATGCTCTGACAGGAAATGAGAATAAACAGAGTAAAGTATTTTCCATCCTTCCACTAGGCAATTCAGCTTGGCCAAGGATGACTGGTCATCTCGATCCTTAGAAGGAAGGCAGGATAACCGGCTTAGATTATCGTATTGAGAGGGGTTCATCTCTTGCCTCTAAGTGATTAAAAGTAAAAAAGTCCAAGTGGTCTGGTGATCCATTTGCAACTCTATTGCTGCAAAAATTTATAACTGTAATAATGGCCAGGAACAGCCTAGCTAGAAGTGGTGGGCGCCAACTGCTTACTTATTCAGATCATAATCGTTATAAGGAAACAAAGGGGCTTATTTGCAGAAAATAAATGTTCTACCTTGATTTATATTCTTGAAGAAAAAAGTTTCGTTGAATTTCGGATTGAGACCGCTAGCAAATTTTGTTCGATAACGGAAATTCTTATATGGCAACAGAACCATTCGAATCTAAAATATTTAGGTCTCTTTCTATTCTTTATCTGTTTTGGGATCGATTTTATTGTTCTAATTGGAAGAACGATAAAGAAATTTGCAAATAATGTCGAGGTAAATGCTTGATTACTGCATGTAAATAAACCACATCGCCCGCCGCTTCTCACCAGGTATCAAAACGAACGAGTTTTCAAAATTGGGTTTTCCTTGTTCCATGGCTTAGATATACCTGTGTGTTTGAATCATTCTCGATTGATTCAAAAGCGATTCCCTCAACTATTGTGATGATGAGCTACAATAGATACAATATCTTATTAAAATGCAATTAATAATATTATAAAAAATATAAATTAAAAATTAAACTTTATACATCGTCATTCATTACAGTTATCCATCTTCTCATGATGCGATGAAGTTTTAGAAAAAAACAAAGATGGATATTCAATAAAATAAGCTGATCTAGAAACGACTTCTAATGCAGGAATTTTTCCTGAGATTGCTCTTAATCTATGTGGATTCGTTTGTCATTTGCTCGTCTTTATTTGCCTTGGATAAGTAATAGCAAAAAAAAGTCGGAATTTAACATATTAGTGCCACTGGCCTCGGTTGAAACTCTATCGAAAATAGCTGTGGCTAGCTCTGATCCTCGCCAAAAAATAGTTGCCTCAAATGGCTGATCAACTGAAGTATAAAATTGTGAAGTATGAAGCACTAACATATCCAGATGATTTTAACTTACTATCCTCTTCTGTATGCTATACTGGACGTTCACTCGAAGTTTTCCAAGCCTCTCTACAATCGGAGATAACACTGCATCGATTTGACTATTCGACTGCTGAATTTTTTCTGTTATCAGACTTGCATAACTAAGAAACTAATCTACTAATTTTAAAAATATTTCTTTTATTGTTTTTAATAGTTTAGAAGATATCTAATTATAATCTAAGAAGATTATCGATAATTTTAGCTTAAAATCTAAATGCTTTAGTAAAATCGTTGTAAATCATATAATTTTACTTGTCGTTGCTGATAAATATAATTTAGATCTGATAATTAAGCGATCTTCTCATGAAATTTAATGAATTTAATCATAAATTGCAAATTTTAAATAAATACAATTAATCCAAGAAATAAAAAAATTAGATTTAACTGAAATGAACTGAGGTGAAAAAATCATGAGTTTCACCTCGAGATGCTGCTCTTCATCCTTCAAATTAGGATTTGATTTAACGGTAATCACTGATGGGCTCTCGTTATCTGACTGGCATTTCTCAGCACTAGATAGTGACGAATAATCATTCGCATTTGCTTTTATTGATGCAGAACTGGTAGCTCGATGAAATTTGAACAAACCGAAGAACGGTTTCGATAGAAATGTCGAAGTATAACACGATACAATTAGTCGATACATAACAGCCAATATTCAATGTTCCGCTGAATATGAGATCACCAATAATTTGCAGATTTTCTAATCATAATAATAAGCTTATAATAATATAATTATTGGAAAAGAAAATTTCTAAAAAAAGAAAACGAATTAGAAAACGAGAAGTGAAAAATTAGTTAAGAAAAATGTTAGAAATAGTTGCATCGAAACGGTTTCATTAATTATAAATTTGCTAATGGAAATCAAAAATAAATATTTATATCTATATTATTCATCGAAAAACATTAAAAAATTATTTATTGAAGAAAATAAAATTAATTAATTTCAATAGAAGCAGTTGTTTTTTTCATAATTTTTTCATGAACACGAAATTATTCGCGTTTTTCGAATATATTTGAAAATCTCTTAAATTTTTCTTTCCTTATGAGAAGAAAACACCTATTTTTCGAATCTTCAAATATTGTCCTCCATTGTTCTTGTGAGTTATAGTTCATGTACTAAATAAGAATGAGAAATAGCGCCATCTTATTTACACTGTAATCCTAATTCTTTGTTATGAAAATACATGAATTAATTCGCACTCTATACGCGACTGACCTTGATAAAAGTAGATTCTATACTAAACTTTTCTTGTTGATAGGATTTTTTACAAAAAGCGCCATAAGTAGTTGGGAGAGAATGGAATAAGAATATGAATATGAGTCATATGAATCCAGTGAGATGCTTAAAATCATCGCTCGCAACAATAATTCAACAATTCGTAAAACGCAAATGAATATTCTCATTCGCCTTATGACTGTCAAATTTTCATGGTTCTGGCTGAATCTGCAATGCCTGTACTTCGCTGCCATTGTACTTCGAAGAGTATAAAGGATCGAAGGTGTTAACAGAGTCGAATTCAGATTCTTGCTTATCCTTCTTCCGCTATCGTAAAAAATTCAAATAATCAGAAAAGTTCATTGAAATTATTAGACGTTTTTATAATCACTAAATATTACAAATTCTCTATGTGAAAACAATGAAGGCATACGATAATCTTAAAAGGGCGAATGATAAAAAATAGAACAAGTAAAAAGTGACTTATTTGTGGGAAGATTTATAGTTCATGTGAAACTCATCATAATTAGTTACGCTTTCATATAAAAACGGATTAAATTTGATTAAAACTTATACCATTCCCAAACTCTACTGCTGTCAATCACATTAATGATTTTACATAAATATTTCTGGTGAAGCTCGCCTCAGCTGGCAAAATTAAAGGAATCAGCTGAGTGGAGGCAGTAAAAAATACTAATAAATCGCCGCATTTGCTATAGCGAAATTCCCAGCAATGGACTCCATTTATTATTTTTGTGAAATAATATTAGTTTAAGACAATCCGCTAAATTTTCGAGCAATCGATCATCATCCACCATTGGTATTAATTAAAGAAACGAATGTATAAATAAAGAATTTCAGTCGATACTTTTGGCCTTTTTAAAAATTCCTTAGAGCTCTATGTTTAGTAATTTTCTTCTTTACGAACTGAAGAAAACTAATGAGCTATGGGCAGAAATGTCAACGTACCTTAATTTGCGACTTAATATTCCATTAAAACGAATATATTCCATTAACGTTCTTTTGGATCCCTGTATACTATATAATCGCCAAAATACCTATCATTTTCCTTCGATATCCTCGCCTTTTTTCTCCACTCAAACCCCATTATTCTTTCTCATTAATATGATATATATAATTTTTTACTATCGTGGTAATATTTGAAGAGATTTGGTGAAATTTTTATAAAATATATCAAATTTTAGGAGTTAAAAAGAACATTTTTAGCACGATTTTAGTCGATACTTCGCAATTTGAGCTGGCATGGTCGTATTTTCATTCGGACACACACTAGCATAGCAATTTTTGTTACATAAAGTATAATCGATCTATAATAAAACGTATAACTGTAGGCATCGTCGACAATTATTTTATTGGTGATTGGCATTTAAAAATAAAAACTTCAAAAGGATTTCAACAAAAATTCTGAATTTTCTGATGAATTTTTCACGTTGTAATGCTCGAATAAAAAACCAATATGAAAATTATATTAGCGAAGCATCCCTTCCCTTAGATAATTTGTCGATATGATATGAGATTTTCTATCTCCAGGTTCATCTTATCTTTTAACACGGACTGCTTTTTCATTTTGACTGTTCAACTATAATTGTCACCTGCTGCATATGTCGTGTGGTACTGAAATGGCATATGCCGGCATAATATGAAATAATTTAGGAATATACTCACAGCAAATTCAAACTTAGACTTCGATAATATGTTTAGTCTATTTCATGAGAGATAGTTTCCATTAAAATTTTTTTTTAAAATTTAAAATGGATCACTGTCGATCGCGATTTAAGCATTCCATATAAATTTTTTTACTACAGTTGTAAATTAAACTGAAAAAAATTCATAAAATAAGAAAAAAGCGATGAGCATTTTTCAGCGGATTGTTTAATAAATGTCCAATAATTATGATATGGTGATTGTTTAAAAAATTATAATTATATTTCGACTAAAAGCAAAGCAATCACCATAACCTTGACGACAATAACAAGCATAAAATTAAGAGAAATAAAACTACGATGCTGTTAGTGATCGAATTTACATTAATTAACAGAATCAGAAATTTTTAACTTGAATTTCAAAGATTCCTTGGGGATCTTTCTGAACTTACACAGAAAAGAATTTCAATTTACATCTCTAATAATACTAGTCGTTAACTGAAAATTTGGAAATCTCCTTAATTATAGCAATATTAGAAATATATTTGACTTCAGTATGGGAAGAGAGGTCCATAGATTTCAAGAATGCGGCCAGTGGAAATAAAAAATTTAAAACCATTCTATTAAAATAATATTCCCTTTTGCATTGAGCAATGTTCCACTGAAAAGGCAAAAGGCAAAGGAAAGGGTGAATTAAAGTTTTCATTCATAGGACGGTTATAGAACCACAATATTCCATGCATCTCTTTGTTAGATTTAAGGTTTATTTCAAGCAACAACTCGGAAACATGAGGTCAAATAAACTTATCATTAAGCCATAATTACTCACATTTTTTTGATAATTTATCTTTCTACATTTCTATTCCTACACTTGACAATTATCATTTAATTAAATTATAAAAATGGATTCTCGAAGGCATTTTCAAATCTCAACAGGTAATGGAATCTTGAAATTTTTACTAGTTTTCTATAGTTCGTTGCACAAATAACATCTAAAAATACAATCACTGACTTATCTAGAAAACATTCACAAATTTACAACAAGCATTGCTTAACAAATCTAATCGTACTTCTGCTTGATTAATTCGAAATATAATAAATGATTAGTGTTCATCATTTCTACTTAAGCTGTCTCGATCTGTTGCCAATTAATAGAAGTTCAGGTACGAGGTCACCAGCATCAATCGAATTTTAAATTCTAATTTTGAACTCCATCTAGAGCGACGACCTGAACTCGAGATGATAATCTAAGCAACAGTTGCTATTTTAACTCTCAATTTGAAATATATATAGAAAGTTTTGGCAAAAATGGAAAAAATCAAAACTTAACTGTTACAATATGAATAACCCTAAAAAACTGAATGAGGACAAATTAATTTCATAGAAAATTTCAAAAACATGAAGGGATTTGCGATTTAGAAAAGAAAATCATTTTAACAAGGATATTAGTAAAATTTGAAAATTCTATTGGATGGCTTTGCTGATAAGCAAAAAAGAAATTCGGATAAAAACCAAAAAATGAAGTCAATTTTTTTAAAAAAATAGCTTGACTTTTTCACAAAACTTTCTAAAATAACGAATTTTCAAATGTAATGAAAATAAATAAATATTCGTTTAATTGCTATAACAAAAAACTGAAAAACTGAAAAAATTTATATATATATATTCAGAAAAAATAATTCATAAACGATTCATAAATAATATTTGGATTTTTCAAGCTATTTTTGAATGCATTTGTATAAATAAATTGTAGTAATGATCTGATGAAAAAATCTATTTTTGAAAAATTACGATGATAAGCTATAATCATAATAAATAAAGGCGTATCTAACTGAATATTAAGAAAAATTCTTTTTTAAAAATCATTTCAAATAAGATGAAAATAATAAGTCAACATTTTTATTATTTATTTTTGAAATTCATTTATTATAGATATTTTGCAAAAGCTTACGACGATTAATGAGTTTAGAAAGTCGATTAAGTCTAGCAAATAGCCTTTTTTTATGCAAATTAGAATAGAAAATTGATATACTATTTGATATTTCAATAAATATTAATTAATCTAAAGATAAATAATTTAAATGCGTAAGTAATCATCAATGAACCTATGAATTCGTTATTATGGCATGATGACTTCTTTCTTCTTCTAGCAATATTCACCATTTGACTAATTGCACTGGCCTTTATAACGGGGTTCTTTAGCCAAATTATAGGCGGATAGGAGTGCAAGTGAATCTCTTTTTTAATTATTCCTCTCAAAGTAACCGAGCTTTTTTTGGCTTCAAACAGCATACTTAGCATACCATCCACCACCATTCGAGCGAACTATCTCTCGCTACTATTAGAGCATTAACGAGCTTCCCACTGCAAGCAAACATTTTATGTTCATCTAAGAAGAAAGAATGCATAAATTACTTACTGGACGAAAGCGTTAAAATCAAACTTGTAAAATGGACTCGAAATTTGCGAGAAGAATTTTTTAAGAGTTACTGTTTTCTTCCTTAAGTCCATTAAGACAACTAAAACTATTTTATTAATGCAATGCGAAGTTTTCGATGCATAGTTTTTAAAGATAAAATATTCATTGAAATGCGTATTTATTCAAATAAAACTATTACTGACTTTGGATTCATTAAGCAGCGAACACGATTCACTCGTAATAGCATATTTCCTGTGGTAGTTCTATAGATAAATCTAATATTTTCCGGATTAAAAGGCTAATGGTTTCCGCGATGCCATCGTAGAATTTTCGATCCGCTTCAT